AAGCAAGCAAAGCAGGAAGGGGAATTGGATGTACTTGTCCATCTAGGGACAAATGACTTGGCTTGCAATGAGGTTTCAGCGGTTAAGGAAGTTTTTAGTGTTTTTGCCAATGATATACGGCAGGTTGCTTCCACACTGTCATTCTCTGAAGTTCTGCCTGTGCATAACACTCAGAACGACAGGCGGATGCGTATTAGGGACTTTAATTTGTGGCTTAGTGAATGGTGTCGGGAGCAAGGATTTGGCTATATTTCTCATGGTAGCTCTGTTTGGAATGGAAATAAGCTGTACAAAAAAGATGGTTTGCATCTTTCTCAAAAGGGAACAAATGTTCTCAGTAAGCAGTTAAGAGGTTTTGCTAGGATGTATTTAAACTAGGAGGGGGGGCAAAAGGGTGATAAAAAATAAATCCAATTGTCCCCCAAAACAAGGACAGAAGGTGCCTGTAGCAAGTGTGTTAAAAAATGATAAGCTTAGAGTCATGTCTACAAATGCTCGCAGTTTAGGGAAAAAGATCCATGAACTTGTGGCAATAATAATAGATTTAGTCGCTGTTACTGAGACATGGTATAATGAGAAAAATGACTGGGACATAGCAATAACAGGGTACTCTTTATATAGAAAAGATAGGGAAGGTAAGAAAGGGGGAGGGGTGGCCCTGTATGTGAAGGATAGCATAAAATCTAGCCTAATAAAAGTTAGTGAGGCAAACATAGAGTCCGTTTGGGTTACGTTAGAATTTGGTAATCACACAGTAACTCGTGTAGGTGTGATTTATAGGCCCCCAGGACAAATTGAAGAGTTAGATAATCTACTAGTTGAGGAAATAGCTAAAATGACAATGAAGGGGGAAGTTATCATCATGGGTGACTTTAATCTTCCTGATGTAAATTGGAAAACAAAATTAGCTACTTGTGCCAGGAGCACACATATTCTAAACTCCCTACTGGGATTGTCTCTAAAACAAGTTGTTGAGGAGCCAACTCGTAAAGAGGCCATACTAGATTTAGTGTTAACAAATGGAGATTTGGTATCAGATATTACTGTAGGTGAAAGTTTAGGATCCAGTGATCATCAGTCAGTGTGGTTTAATATAAGAACAGTGACTGAGTCACACCACACAAAAACAAAAGTTTTAGACTTTAGAAAAACAGACTTTTCTAAAATTAGAATATGTGTAGAGGAGTCATTATCAGACTGGAGCAATTTAAATGGAGTCCAAGAGAAATGGGATCATTTAAAAGTTGCAATGCTGAAGGCAACATAAAATTGCATTAGGCTTATCAGTAAAAGCAAAAAAAATCAAGAAACCACTGTGGTACTCTGCAGATGTGGCCAAAAGAGTTAAAAACAAAACGTTAGCATTTAGGAATTATAAAAAAAAAAACAGAGTGAGGAAGACAAAATGATCTATAAGATTAGGCAGAAAGAGGCTAAGCAAGTTATAAGAGCTTCCAAATCACACACAGAAGAGAAAATAGCACAGTCAGTAAAAAAGGGGGACAAAACATTTTTTAGATACATAAATGAGAAAAGAAAAGTAAAACAAGGACTAGTTAGATTAAAAACAAAAGAAGGAAGGTATGTAGAAGAGGATGAAGGTCTAGCTGACTGCCTCAATGAATATTTTTGTTCTGTATTTACAGATGAAAATGAAGGAAAGGGACCTCAGTTGAGAAAAAGGATAAATGAGTCATTTATTACACGTGAGTTTACAGAGGAAGAGGTTCTATTTCAACTGTCAAAAGTAAAGACACATAAGTCAATGGGACCTGATGGAATACACCCAAAGCTATTAAAAGAGCTTAGTGGTGTACTAGCAAAACCATTAACAGATTTATTTAACCAATCATTGTTAACAGGAGTAGTCCCAGAAGATTGGAAGTTAGCGAAAGTTGTGCCCATTTACAAGAAAGGTAATAGGGAGGAGTCGGGCAACTATAGGCCAGTAAGCCTTACTTCAGTAGTGGGGAAAGTGATGGAAATCATATTAAAGGATAGGATTGTTGAACATCTAAAAACACATGGATTTCAAGATCAGAGACAACATGGGTTTACTTCAGGGAGATCATGCCAAACTAATCTTATTGATTTTTGATTGGGTAACTAAAATTATAGATCAGGGTGGTGCAGTAGACATTGCTTACCTAGATTTCAGTAAGGCTTTTGACACTGTTGCACATAGAAGGCTTATCAATAAACTGCAATCTTTAAGTTTGGATTCCAATATTGTTGAATGGGTAAGGCAGTGGCTGAGTGACAGGCAACAGAGGGTTGTAGTCAATGGAATATATTTGAAGCTTGGACTTGTCACCAGTGGGGTACCTCAGGGATCTGTACTTGGACCCATTCTCTTTAATATTTTTATTAGTGATATTGCAGAAGGTCTTGATGGTAAGGTATGTCTTTTTGCTGATGATACTAAGATATGTAACAGGGTTGATGTTCCAGGAGGGATAAGCCAAATGGCAAATGATTTAGGTAAACTAGAAAAATGGCCAGAATTGTGGCAACTGACATTTAATGTGGATAAGTGCAAGATAATGCATCTTGGACGTAAAAACCCAAGGGCAGAGTACAGAATATTTGATAGAGTCCTAACCTCAACATATGAGGAAAGGGATTTAGGGGTGATTATTTCTGATGACTTAAAGGTAGGCAGACAATGTAATAGAGCAGCAGGAAATGCTAGCAGAATGCTTGGTTGTATAGGGAGAGGTATTAGCAGTAGAAAGAGGGAAGTGCTCATGCCATTGTACAGAACACTGGTGAGACTTCACTTGGAGAATTGTACACAGTACTGGAGACTGTATCTTTAGAAGGATATTGATACCTTAGAGAGGGTTCAGAGAAGGGCTACTAAACTGGTTCATGGATTGTGGGATAAAACTTACCATGAAAGGTTCAAGGATCTAAACATGTATAGCTTGGAGGAAAGACGAGACAGGGGGGGATATGATAGAAACATTTAAATATATAAAGGGAATCAACACAGTAAAGGAGGAGACTATATATAAAAGAATAAAAACTACCACAACAAGAGGACATAGTCTTAAATTAGAGGGACAAAGGTTTAAAAATAATATCAGGAAGTATTGCTTTACTGAGAGGGTAGTGGATGCATGGAATAGCCTTCCAGCTGAAGTGGTAGAGGTTAACACAGTAAAGGAGTTTAAGCATGCGTGGGACAGGCATAAGGCTATCCTAACTATAAGATAAGACTAGGGACTAATGAAAGTATTTAGAAAATTGGGCAGACTAGATGGGCCGAATGGTTCTTATCTGCAGTCACATTCTATGTTTCTATGTTTCTATGTATGTTTTCTGTGTCTGGAGACAATTGAGTTTAATACAGTGCCGACTCAATTATCTCCCAGGCACAGGGGAGTGATTGACCTATTTTGTATGGGAGTGTCCTGGACCTGAGAGCCAATGTAATCGTGTGTATGTTTTTACTGTAGTCTACTCTCGGGTCCAAGGGGGAGTGCCCCTTGCACGGGGACCTGCATATAAGGCCAGATGTGGCTACCATTATACAGATTCGTTGTACCATTCATGAAGTCTAGGCTCATGTTTGGGGGATTAAAGAGCTATACTCACTCTGGGGATTGCTATAATCACTATACTCCCTTGGCTTACAATGATTGCTCTTGTAAGAGCAGCCTGCTTTGCATTCTGGAGTAGGAGAGATTTACCCATTGGAAGCTGGATCCTGGTCTTGGGTCCAGGGTGGGTGGAGGACAGCGAGACCCCAACACAGCTGCAGTGGTATGTGGGGTTTACGGTGGTTATGGTACCAGGTGCGGTGCTTATGGTACTCCAGGATTACTAGGAAGCAGCGATTGATGGAGGTACCCGTTCGGGGTGCCAGGCGGTCCGTCTCATATGGTAACTCTGCTAAAGATATAAACTGTCCAGTACGATAACTCTGGTAAAGATTAATTCTGTCAGATATGGTAACTCTGGTAAAGATTCATTTTGTCAGATACGGTGACTCTGGTAGAGATGATATATACTGTCCAGAGCGGTAACCAGAGGCAGCTGGTGAAGTTTGAAGATGGTGGCCACTTGTTGGACTCTGCCCACATAACCCAAAATAACCAACCCCTGACCCAATGAGACTTCATGCAGTGTTCATAATATTGTTTTGTGAAATAACTAGCATTTTAAGGAAGTGTGTCTCTACCCTCAGCCCTAAAAGACCGGACAAGACCTAGACCTGGCTGTTAGGGTGCCCAGGATCTGACAGGCCAATTGAAATTAATGGCTGAAGTCACAAATCCTGTTATTTCTAACATATTACACACACTTATCATTAGACATTACTGTGTCAATAATCAGATTTTTAAAAAAACATTTTAAACTTAGAGGTAACTACCCTATCTGTCCCTTTAGACCAACCTCCACTGACCATAACCCTAGTAAAAATGGTAAATCCTGGTAGATATGGTAACCCTAGAAAAGATGGTGGATTCTGGTAGATATGGTAACCCTTCTGTCATATATGGTAACTCTGGTAAAGATTAATTCTGTCAGATACGATAACTTTGGTAAAGATGGATTCTGTCATATATGGTAACCCTGGTAAAGATGGGGAATTCTGGTAGATATGGTAACCCTGGTGAAGACGTTGTGTTCAGGTAGATATGGTAACTCTGGTAAAGATGGTGGATTCTGGTATATATTGTAACCCTGGTAAAGACATTGTGGTCAGGTAGATATGGTAACCCTGGTAAAGATGATGGATTCTGGTAGATATGGTAACCCTGGTAAAGATGATGGATTCTGGTAGATATGGTAACCCTGGTAAAGATGGTGGATTCTGATAGATATAGTAAATGTGGTAAAGATGGTGTGTTCTGGTAGATATGGTAACCCAGGTAAAGATGGTGGATTCTGATAGATATAGTAAATGTGGTAAAGATGGTGTGTTCTGGTAGATATGGTAACTGTGGTAAAGATGGTGTGTTCTGGTAGATATGGTAACCCTGGTAAAGATGGTGGATTCTGGTAGATATGGTAACCCTGGTAAAGATGGTGGATTCTGGTAGATATGGTAACCCTGGTAAAGATGGTGGATTCTGGTAGATATGGTATCCCTGGTAAAGATAGTGGATTCTGGTAGATATGGTAACCCTGGTATGGATGGTAGATTCTGGTAAATATGGTGATTCTGGTAGATATGGTAACTGTGGTAAAGATGGTGGATTCTGGTAGATATGGTAACCGTGGTATGAAAGGTGGATTCTGGTAGATATTGTAACCCTGGTATGAATGGTGGATTCTGGTAGATATGGTAACCCTGGTAAAGATGGTGGATTCTGGTAGATATGGTAACCCTGGTATGAATGGTGGATTCTGGTAGATATGGTAACCCTGGTAAAGATGGTGGATTCTGGTAGATATGGTAACCCTGGTAAAGATGGTGGATTCTGATATGGTAACCCTGGTATGGATGGTGGATTCTAGTAGATATGGTAACCCTGGTAGAGATGGTGGATTCTGATATGGTAACCCTGGTAATGATGGTGGATTCTGGTAGATGCATTGATGCTGGCTGATTTAGTTCCCTTGTTAAAAGTTAGCAATGCTGATAATTGTCACTTACTCATTCTTTGGTTGTCTTGTAACTATGGCTACAGGAATGGAGAATTGAGGAGAAAAAAAAGAGCGTTTCCGTGACAACTGATGAAAGCATAACTGCATGAAAGCAAAATCCACAATAAAGCATTAAGCACATAGAACATCTTCATGGATCTAAATCACGAAGGAGGACAAGTAACATCACCAGGAGCTGCGCCCAGACACGCACGGTAAGTCTTCATTCCTGGCATGCCAAAACCAGGGCTCAGTGCCAGACTAGGCAATGGACGCAAGTCCTCAGCGAGTAAAAGCTTGGCCACGGGCCAGCTTGCAGTCTGGTTAGGATACAGGGACAGTTTACATGTGCCTTTGGGGGTAACATGATACAACTCTATGGTATGTTTCACTAATTTCATTGTCTTTACCCTTAGTGCCAAGTACTGAACATATATATATATATATTTATATATATATATATATTTCATGGCATTTTATGTATGTACAGTTAGGCATGTGTTATTACTATTTTAATAGTTTGTTAATGAAACGATGATCCCATGAGATTATCTAGATTCACCTTCCTGTGACACAGACCCACATCAGGAAAGATATTTTAAAGGCTCCTTTTAAGACTAATTACTTTATAAACAGGTTCCAGGCCTCAAGACATCTCTGGTCCTCTCTACTCACCTATTCTTCAATCTGTAAGATTGTGACACCCAGCATTGATAAGGTGATAGCTACATCTTCTGAAGATCTGAGGTGCATGAAAGGTACAGACAGTTTGGGTCTAGTATGATCTGTCTGGGCTTAGAGTAGCAAGAAGACACAAAGTATAGGCCTTTGAAATCCGACATGTACAATTCAGATAATCATCAATTAAAAATGACTCTTGCAAAAGATAATTTATGAGTAGCCTCTATCTTGCCATACATGCAAGGTCAGTGTGTGTGTGTGTTGGCCATAGTGAGGTACTTTGTCTAAATGAATAACTATGGACAAAGCCTGACACACTTTGAACGTGGTCTGATCACATTTCTGTTGTATCATTTTAATATTATATGTGGGGAGACAAGAATGTTTTTTTTTCATGAGTACTGTATTGTAGAGAACTGGAAACAGACATTTTAGCTAAACTCATCTATATTCATGGAGAGAAAAGCACAAATAAGGGTGCGCCTAAGACAAGTAGAATGAATGTATAAAAATATGTATCAGAGAGTCCAAGCAGCGATACCTAGAAAGTCCGAATATAAATAATCCACATATGCAGGAGGTAGTCCTAGTGCTACATAAAATGGTATGTGAAGTGCCAGATGTATATCCGCAGCTTCAAAATGGATATGTGAAGAAAACAGAAGACAAGGGAAACTCCAATGGTATAGTATGAACGGTAAATAATATTGTATATAGAATAGTAGAACTACTCACAATATTCAGAGCTTAAATCCAGCTCTGGTGTAAATGGCACGTAGTGGAATAATCCACCAAATCAGAGGAGCACCGTATATCCTTGAGTGGGGATTATTCAACTACGTGCCATTTACACCAGAGCTGGATTTAAGCTCTGAATATTGTGAGTAGTTCTACTATTCTATATACAATATTATTTACCGTTCATACTATACCATTGGAGTTTCCCTTATCTTCTGTTTTCTTCACATATCCATTTTGAAGCTGCGGATATACATCTGGGACTTCACATACCATTTTATGTAGCACTAGGACTACCTCCTGCATATGTGGATTATTTATATTCGGACTTTCTAGGTATTGCTGCTCGGACTCTCTGATACATATTTTTATACATTCATTCTACTTGTCTTAGGCGCACCCTTATTTGTGCTTTTCTCTCCATTGTATTCCAAGGGGCTTAGAGGGGATTCCCCTTTTCCATAGGTGTGCTGCCTTGCTGTCATATTCTCTGTTTTCCTATCAGCGCTGAACCTCCTTCCTGATCTCGATTACATTTCATCTATATTCATGGATTTCATATTTTAGTCCTCAGTTTGCTATAATTTGGTGTGTAGGGAATGAACTGATGCATGTTTTATGGCAAGTGATCTTTACAATTGGTAGCCGTGAAAGCCACTCAAACTGGAAATTCTGATAATATATCTTAATGTAAAAATAAATAAATTAAAAAACGCCATAGTTCAATTTAAATGAATTCATGGCTTGACAGAGTGGAATGGATTCTCTTAGTTTGACGAGGAATCTAATACCTTGCTTTATGGTGCTATATGAGGAGTTATTGAAAGGCAGCTAACTATGGTCAATGACTAAACTATGAATTATTGAGAGATTTTAGGCCAAAACAGTTCATTTGTAAAACGCTAAGCTCGGCTACTTTTCCTACTCAAACAGTTTGGCCTTCATTTTGTAATTTATTGTCATATTTCTGTATTTTTAGTTAAGGGAACAAGCGCAAGTGTTTTATTTGTGTAGAAGATATTAAAACGAGAGGAAACCTAATTTGTCCAGGCTTAACCCAAACCAAGTTTTTTTCACTAAAAGGAATGATTTGCTGTTTTGGTATGGCTCCAAATTGAAGTGTTTCTGGTAATTATGCAAATAGGGACCCCCACCCTTGATCATAGAGTTGTCTGCCCCTGTTTGTTCCAATTACATATAATTTGTTTTTAGTATTTTATAGGCGTTCTGTGATGAGTGAAAAGGAAATAGAATGGGCACTTTACATTTATCATTAGATGCCGTGAATCATTGAAAATAGGTTCAGCATGTTAGAAACAGCCAAGTAGCATGTCTAGTTCGTGTTTTGTATCTCCTGGGATTTGGGGGACTGTCTGCATACTGTTAAGTGTCAGTCTATGCTAACATCTTTACAAAAGAGAATTAAGGAACCCTTGTGAAGTTGGAAACATAAGAACGGGGTGTAACTAACTTATGAAATACTTATAAAGGAAAAAAAGAACAGACCAACAAAGTATCTAACCATACAAAATAATAAAACATAACTTTTATTTGACGATATCAATTTAAAAAAAAAACCAAGACATATCTCAAATATCTACAGTACAATAAAGTTCTGAGCCACAAGAGAGAAATGTCATGCTGCTATAACAAAAAGAAACAGAGGACACAAAGAAAGAAAATAAATAAACTATACAGGAAAAACACAGTATATAAAGAGTCTATTAGGCGAAACGCGTTGGCAACCCGGGTTACGTGTATGCCGGGATCAAGAAGATAATGTAAAGTTGTCAGTTTTTAGCTCCATTTAGTTTGAAGATTACGGCTAACTGTAGTCTCATATGATATGCAGTAGTCAGCACTGGATTAAATAGAAACTAGATGCATCAGTCTGATCAACGTGGATTATAATGAGAAATCGGTGCCCTTCAAAGCACAGTGATAGGGAAACGAAGTGAAGGCTGATTTGGTGATTTGATTGGTGTTATTTTCCTTTTTTTTGTTTTTTTTTGGTAGTTTTCTATTATTGATCTTTATTGGTCTACTTTGAGGATACGTAATGTTTATTTTGAGTTATTGCTCGTCTGTGTATTCATTATATATTTACACTACTATACATATTTATTTTAGGTTTTAGTAGTGGAGAGTTACACTATGGCTTAGGAAGTGTTACCGTGTGACTGTAGATTGACAACCGTTTAGGTGACAGTCCAGTATTTAACTATTGCACAGTTTTATACACCAATATCAAAAGAAATGAAGGGTATAAGCTTATTATTTTTATATTTTGAATATTGATAAGTCACTGCTTTGTAGATCTAGGTCTCCACAGCTATTCGGTTGATGATCTTTACTAAAGGAGATTAAAGGGACACTATAGTTACCCAAACAACTTTAGCTTAGTAAAGTAGTTTTTGTGTGTAGTTGATGTCCCTGCAGTCTCACTGCTCAATTCTTAGACATTTAGGAGTTAAAACACTTTGTTTCTACAGCCCTAGTCACACCTCCCTGCATGTGACTCGCACAGCCTTCCTAAACACTTCCTGTAAAGAGTCATTCAATGTTTATACTTCCTTTATTGCAAATTCTGTTTAGTTTAGAATATCTTATTTCTTGCTCTGTTAATAGCATGCTAGACCCTGCAGGAGCTTATGCAATTAAAGTTCAATTTACAGAACAGGAGGTAAAAACTTTTAGAGAGAGCTCAAAATCCGACTTCATGGCATTTTTCTCTCCACACGTTCATTCAAAGATATGATTCATAAACAAACACAGCACAGGAATTTAACATTCCAAACAATGATATTCCTTCTACGGTTAATTTGGGGACATTCATCATAACTAGATTCGCTACATGTGCTTAGCACCACACATGGATTTGATCATCTGCCATGTGGTAAAACCACTGTACTGTCCTTGTATGTTGAAACATCAACGTCCATGGCTTCTGGAACTTCACAAACCAGGCTGCACAAAGCATTTCCAGTGGTTGTTGAACAGTTTACAACAGAAACAAAGCGTTCAGGGACCACATCTGTGACATACTGAATGAAAAATTGAACATTGATCAGAAACATTGATATTTGTGTGATGTCTTTTTGAGTGGAGAACATTCCAGCTTCTCTGATCTCTTGTGCAAGGCCTTTCTTCAGCAGAAAGGAATTCCCACCAATTCTAGAGTTTGTTGTTTTTAAAAGCGGTGTAACCATGCTGCCCCGTCCTTTAATGCTCTTTAGATCTTTGGATGTTGTTCTTTAGTCTTCAGTATGATTTGTTAAAGGTGACTTTTTAGCAAAGGATCCAATTTACAAAGAAGAAGCAAAATGTCAATAATATCACAGTGGTACAACTTTTTATCATTAAAACTATAAACTGCTCCTGTTGAAGCTCTAAAACTCATTCCCATTTGCCGATTCATTTTATAAGTTCAACAACACGCTCCAGGGTGGCAATGCTTTCTCGTCACTTCCACTTTCTGTAACATTTTTTGTTTTCCAAAAAAATTGCTGCCAAAATCAAAACTTTTTGATCTTGTTAAAAAGCATTTTGATGTTGTATAAGGAAGGGTGCGTTCTTCAGCAGAACCGTTAACACACATGCTTTTATTGATGGGAGATAAAAACTTTATTGATGCAGAAAGAGGCTCCATGTCCATGTGGATAACTGCAGTTTAAAGGTACAGCCTGAGAATCCGAAACTATTCTACCTGATTTCCTTCATCTTAGTTACTACATTATTAATTTACTATAACAATGTTACTATTTGTACCTGTAGTTTACTACTGTATAATCCAAAGGTGGGGACATTTGGTTGGCAATGTGAGACTTGACAAATACATTCAAATTTGAGATTTGAGTCAGGCAAACTACATTTTGTAATCCTCAGTTTCAGGCTAACCTAGATCACTATGTTCAGCTTGTGCTAATGGGCATACCTAAGGCTTGGCAAAACCAGCGCCCATTGGGGACGCAGGGCGAGGGAGGACGGGGGTGCAAAAATCCTTCAGTATTAATGTTATAAGCGCTACCGAGGGCCGGTGCAACCATAGGTTGGAACAGGCAGCTGCCTTAGGGTGCACCAGCCTGGGCACACAGGATCCAAGTGAGCACAGCGCTCCCCATCCAGTCAGTCATTGTATCATGGCCAAGTCGGAGCTTCTGTTTCCCTCTACACAGTCTCACAGGAAGTGTGCTCAGGAAGTGCCAAATAGCTTCCTGTCTGTCTGGATAGAGGAAGCAGAAGCTCTTCCTTATTGTAAGCCACGCTACAAGAGGAAGGTGAGCTGGCATAGGTGGGCAAAAGGGGGTGAGGGAAGAGACAGACAGGGGCAAAAGAAACAGACAAGGGCTGGGGGAAGACGCCCAAAGGGGCTGGAGGGACCTCAAAAAGACTAAAAGGGGCTGGGACACACACAAAGAGACACAGACCAGCTGGGGGAGAAAGATATGAGGTGCTGAGGGGAGACACAGAGGGACTGGGGTGACAACGAAATACAGAAGGGCTGGGGAAGGAGCAAAAGAGACACATGTGGGCTAAGTGGGGAAAAGACTGGACTGGAGGGGCACAAAGGGGCTGGGGGAGAAAGAGACAATGTTCTTTATAAATATTAAAGACTCTTACAATATTTCTGTAACAGATCCCCTATACTCCGACTAAGTATATCTGTTAGTTACCTCCTGAATCACAAGTGCTGCAGTGATTATAGCTCTCCTGTTTCCAGCAAAATATGGATTAGAGCTCTCCAATCCCTCAAACATGAGCCTAGACTTCATGAAGGAGTAAAACGGATGTGTTTAATGGGAGCCACACACAACCTTTTATGTAACTCCCCATGCAAGGGTTTTCCTTAATCACATTCCAGGGGCATTCCCCTCTGGACCTGAGAGGAGACTAGTTACAAGCAAACATTCCACACACTCCTCCCCTGTGCCTGAGTGATAATTAACTGAGCACACAAACATATCATTAAATTATCTCTCAGTTACAAAAACATCCAATAAGAGAGAACCCCGATCTGGGTGACCAACATTTCCAAAAATCACCCAGATCGGTTCAGGGGTTCGTGATTTTCATGTAAGTCAATTATTTGACCGACTGTGCACATGGTCCTATGCCCAAAACACTTCCAGGAAATCAGGGATAACGGTCGGTCTCTTTCGGTAGCACAAAAGTACATAGAATACCAAATGGAATGCTTAAGTTACTTGTGTAGCCTGTTCCCCTTGTTCGTGGGAACGTTTCCACTGGACAGTGCCTTTCTAAGTGAAGTAGAACTGAATGCAGGCGATGATGGAAGTCCAGCGGTGTTCGGGAGTTTCTGTGTCCGATTTTAGTTCCCCCTATTTTGTGTGTACCAGTGCTCTTTTCGTATGATGTTCGAGCATTTGACACTATTTCCTTCCATATTTCGTTTGCCGACCTAATCATTGAACACCGACCACCCTCCTGGCTTGTTAACTTGAAACAAACCACAAGAATGCAGGTTCTCTTTGTGTGGCCGAACACCACGTGGTGGAGAAAACGGCGGCCATCTTGTTGCACAAACGCAGTCAGCGGGACTTGGTCGTTGAGTGCCTGGAACTCTGAAGCGGCCACTCGACGACCCGAACACTGGTCAAAACACACAAACGCCTGCTTCTGGCTGCAACAAGCTAGGAGAACCTGGTTCGACGGTTTGTTCGACTAAAACTACCAAACCATTCCTATAATATGAGCCAGGGGATTCATTCACCTTTTTGTTGATTTCACTACATTCCGTTTGGATGAAAACACACGAACTAGACCGACCCTTATAGCTAAAAGCGTGGAACTATTTCTGAACAGACTTATTCAGAGCGGTCAGTCAATTCCATTAACCCCTTGGTGATTCGACTGCGTTCGTAGATACTGTGGGGGGTGTGTGTGTGGGGAGGGTATAGTGAGGGCTCCCACTGTAACCAACACACACACACACACTGCCCCCCACTATCACCAACACACATACACTGCTCCCATACACTGTCACCAACACATACACTGCCCCCCTGCCAGCCTTCCTCCACTGCCCCATGCCCTGTTAGCCTCTTCTAGACCCCCCACCCTGTCACCGTCTCACAATCTGCTCCCCCCACACCAGCAGGTGTGAGTGACCTATTAGTGTACATTTAGGTCTCTGTACAGAAATGGGTGCATGTCTGTGACGGTCTGCTAAGGTATCACAGTCTTGCATACCCTTTTCCCATAACAATATTACGCCAATAATCCACAGGTTCCAATATCGCTGGTGCCGCATAATAACCCACACATAAGCCAAGGCTTAATGCTTGGACAAGTCTGGTTTAATGGAAAACAGGCATTCAATTTATACAGTGCATAAACTCCTCCTCTGAGCCAGAGAGATAATTGAGTCAGAGAAAATACTAAACTCAATTATCTTCTGGTCAGAAAAAGTAAAATTTTACACAACACCCTGAAATACCCCCAGAATACATGGGAACCCCACAAAAGTCACATCCTGGATAGCCTGGATCTGGGGGAACAATATATAAAAAAAATCATCCAGATCCGTTTGGTAGTTCGCGAACGGCACCGCAGGGAGAGTTGACCGGTCTGCCACGAGGTTGAAGCCGAGAAACAGTTCCATGAAAAAAATTAGCAAGAGCCGGTCTCTGTTCATGGGGTTTTGTACAAAAACCACAGAAGATAATGTCAAGCTGGTTCATGGAGAATGCTCCCTGTGTTCGGTATTCTGAAACTCCTGAACACCGTTCATCTGAGTGAATGGGTAGGGGAACGTAGAGGGGATCCGTAAAGACCGGTGTGAGTGTGAGTGCCTTGCCGAAAACAGATCCAGGCACTCAACGACCAAGTCCTGCAGGCGGCGTTCGGGAGACAAGATGGCCGCAATCCATTGTTCCAACCACGTGTATTCGTATGCATGAAATGGCGGCCACCCAGGAGCATTCAATTAATCAGCTGTTTTCCTACAAGATACACAACATTCTAAGTTCTAATTAGTCTCTGGGGTGGTCTTGATTCGGGAACCGAACAAATTGACGAACGAACTGGAACAGGATAAAAAAAGAAAACGTAAATAGCCGAACAGTGACGGGGCATGCCTTCACACTGCCCCTCCTTTTACTGCCTGCTCTGGCAGGCACGGTTGGACCTTTTTCGGGTCTATTAGGGACTGTCCGGACTCTACAGTACTAGTTAAGGTAGCAACTTGGTCTGGCGAGAAAGTCCATCAGCGTTCCCATCAGTGGCGGATCCAGGGGGGGGGGGGCAATGGGGCAATTGCCCCGAGATTCTCCCCTGCCGGCTAGTTCAGGGCTGGCATTGTCCAAGTGCCAGCCCTGTAATGTGCCAGCGGACCAGGGAGGGAGATCTCCCTCCCCGGTCCGCAGGCAAAGTGCTAACAGCTAGTGAGGGAGGGAGGGAGAGAGGACCCGGGAGCTCAGCCTGCAGCTCCTCCGGGTTCTACTCTCGCAAGCACGGAGCATTGCCACGATTACCACGGCAACGCTCCAAATCTCGCAAGAGTTAACTCTAGCCCTGGAGCTACGGGCTAGAGTTCACTCTCACCACTGGAACCACCAGGGATTTCCCCATTGGACCACCAGGGATCCAGAAAATCCCCCCTCCTCCACTGCCACACATACAGACACACTGCCCCACAAACACTGCCACCCATACACACACACTGCACACCCATACACACATTTCCCTCCACACACATGGCCCCCTCCATACACATGGACGATAAAGCGTTTGTTAGGATCTGGGGCAGCTAAGACAGGTGCATTAATAAGAGCTTGTTTCAGAGCCTGGAAAGCCACCTCACACTCCAGGGACCACAGGACCTGTTGGGGTAACTTCTTCTTAGTCAAGTCAGTCAGGGGTTTGGCCATGGCGCTATAGTCTGGTACAAAGCGCCTGTAATAGCCGGCTGTCCCTAAGAAGGCCATGACTTGCATCTTAGTACGGGGAGTGGGCCAATTAGCAAAGGCTTCAACCTTGGCAGGCTCTGTGCGTTGCTTACCACATCCTACACGGTGGCCCAAATATTGTTCTTCTGCCATATCAATGTGACACTTGTCAGGCTTCAAGGTTAAGCCAGCTCCCCTAATTCTGTCCAACACTGTCCCTATGTGGTATAGGTGAACCTCCCAGGTGTCGTCCAGGTATGCATGGGCATAGTCCTGGAGACCATCTAGACAGCATTCCACCATCCGCTGGAAGGTGGATGGGGTGTTCTTCATCCAGAACGGCATAACCCGAAACTGGTATAAGCCGAACCGGGTGATGAAGGCCGACTTAGTGATGGCTTCTGTGGCTAAGGGGATCTGCCAATATCCCTTGCAAAGGTCGATAGTGGTCAGATATTGTCCCTTATATATACGGTCGAGCAGTTTATCCACCCGGGGCATTCGGTAGGCGTCTGTTACCGTTTTATCATTGAGCCGCCTGTAGTCGACCCAAAAACGGGTCGTGTCGTCCTGTTTTAGCAACAAAACCACAGGTGACGCCCAAGGACTCTCAGAGAGTTCAATTACCCCTAAACAAAGCATCTCATTTATCTCTTTTCGCATCCCTTCCTTTACAGCTTCTGGAATGCAGTACGGGGGTTGTCTCAAGGGAGCCTGGCCTGGGGTCTCTACTTTATGAACCACTAATGGAGTATACCCAGGTTCCTGAGAAAACATGGCTTGTTTGGTTCCCAGAAGGTGGGTTGTTTGGGCCCATTCTTGTGGCCCTAGCTGTTCCCCCAATTTTACCAACTCTATAGCCCTTGTTACCGGGTCACCTCCTAACATGTGTAGTAAGGGAAAGGCTTCCGGATTCTCACATGCAGGGGCAAATACTGCAGTCACTTCTTTGGCCCTTTCCTTATATTCTTTGAGCATGTTGATATGAAACATCCGTTTCACAGCTTCTTCCTTGCAACTAGCCAATACGTAGGTGGTATTACACACTTGCCCAATGATCTTGTATGGACCTTGCCAGGTGGCCTGAAGCTTATCTTGTCGGACTAGTTTGTGAACCATAAACTTTTGTCCGACCTGGAAGCTACGGTGCCTGGCTCTCCGGTCATACCATACCCGCTGGCGCTGCTGGGACGCCTGGAGGTTCTCCCGTACTGCCTGAGCCAATTCCTCCATTCGGTCCCTTAGCTCCAACACATAAGGTACAATTGGATCTCTGTCTCCCCCTCCCAGTGCTCCCTAATAAGGTCTAGGGGCCCTTTCACGCGCCTCCTGTACAGTCACTCAAAGGGCAAAAATCCTGTGGATTCCTGCGGCACCTCCTGGTAGGCAAAAAGAAGGTGCGGTAGGAACCGTTCCCAGTCAGTCTAGGATGGTACGGGGAGCTCGTCAGGGGTTTCCATATTTGTTGGATTACTTCTGCAATGAACTGAGTACCCTTGTCAGATAGAATCTCCTTGGGAAATCCCACTTGAGAGAAAATCTTGATCAGGGCATCAGCCACCGTCTCTGCCTGGATATTGGAGACCGCTACGGCCTCCGGGTATCGGAGGCGCGTGAGGGGACCCCTAGACCTTATTAGGGAACACTGGGAAGGTTAGACAGAGACCGAGGGGACCCCAATTGTACCCTATGTGCTAGAGCTGAGGGACCTTATAGAGGAATTCGTTCAGGCAGTACGGAAGAACCTCCAGGCGGCCCAGCAGCGCCAGCGGGTATGGTATGACCGGAGAGCCAGACACAGTAGCTTCCAAATCGGACAAAAGGTTATGGTTCTCAAGCCAGTCTGACAAGATAAGCTCAAAATTTTTCAAATTAAATGGTAGCATAAGGAACAGTATGCAAGGGCTGTAATAAGGGTTCCCCTCCAGGAGGGTTGAGTGGCTTCTGACTATGGGTCGTAGTAGAGGGTGTTACTCCACTGGAAGGAACTGCCACTCTCCCAGTGTTGCCTGCATAAGTGGAGAATATATCACGAAGTGCCAAGTGAGGGGGGGTTCATACGGCAGAATTCGTGTCGTGAGTGTCGGCTATCTGCTCAGAGCCTCTGTGAGGCCCTGTGTAAATGTCTAGGGTGGTGCATGACAGGTCGACTTCTCCTGTCGGAGTATATAGGAAGCCATTAAATCATAGATAAGTAAAACCAATAATTAAAAGCAATGTAAAAAAACAACAAATACAAATCATTAATATCGTCTAACTTTGCCGCTGTTGATAGCTGCTATTAAGAAAACTTCTGCCTGTAGGTAAAACATTTCCTAGTCGGACGGTTAAGTCCTGGGTGGCTCGTGGCCGTTCAACTCTCTGAATGCTCCCTGCATAAGGGGATAGTGGCTGGTGAATCGCACTCGCCTACCAGTGCTTCACTATGACAGCATTGGATTGGCTGAGATAATCAGGTTTTGTGGAGAAGCTAAATACCAGTCTTGCACACTTTGCAGCACTGGCCCAGGAATCACCTCTAGTGACCGTATGAGTGACTACCACTAGCGGTGTTACTAGGCAGTATTTACATTAAAAAGCCTGAAGGGACAGAATGTAGACACCAGAACTACATCAAGCTGTACTTGTTCTGGTGACTATACTGTCCCTTTAATTGGGACATAATTTTATTTCATACATTGTCTACTTTAATGGTCATTTCCTTTCTCTTTTTACACTATTATTGCAATCTTTGAGTTTAGGAACTTAGATTGAAAACTTGTGTATACATGCAGACTGGCAACCTTCGGCACTCCAGATGTTTTGGACTACACCTCCCATGATTCTTTGCCAGCATTATGGGTGTAAGAGCATTATGGGGCATGTAGTCCACAACATCTGGAGTGCCAAAAGTTGCCTATCCCTGGTAGTTATAGCAACCCCTAGGCTGCAGCTACTTTGGTCTGGCTGCATATCTGTGATTACTTTGATTTCTTGCATAGAACATCGATATCCTAGTTATTTTGATTTGATAGCCTTCCTTTCAATGTGTTTGATATCTCTTGTTGAGCTATAGGTTTCCAGCAGTAATCGGAATAGTTTGCTATTAGTTTGGTCTGGCTGGGTATTCCATAGTACTTTGACTATTTAATCAGGTATCGGGAGCCAGGTGACTTCATATCTCTGGGATTGCTTCCACAGAACCTTTAAATCCCGAGCTCTATTAATTCCAATAACATCATAGGACAATGGGTATGGGAGCTGGTCAACGAGCTGATCAGAATTTAAGGATCAGTTTAATTTTCCTTATTAATGTGTTTACATTGCTCATTATTTGGGCCCCATTACATGGGATTTTCATTGTCCTCAGGTACCATTACACATATTTTGTATATCTGTTACTCAGGGATTGCATTTCTCCCAGGGCCCATTGCTCAGGGATTGCATTTCTCCCAGGGTCCATTGCCCAGGGGTTGCATTGCTCCCAGGGCCCAGTGCTCAGTGGTTGCATTGGTTCTGGGGCCCATTACCCAGTGGTTGCATTGGTTCTGGGGCCCATTACTCAGGGGTTGCATTGCTCCCAGGGCCCATTGCTCAGGGATTGCATTTCTCCCAGGGTCCATTGCTCAGGGGTTGCATTGCTCCCAGGGCCCATTACTCAGGCATTGCATTGCTCCCAGGGCCCATTACTCAGGGGTTTCATTGGTTCCGGGGCCCTTTATTCAGGGATTACATTGATCCCAGGTCCCATTACTCAGGGATTGCAGTGCTCCCAGGACCAATTGCTCGGGGATTGCATTGCTCCCAGGGTCCATTGCCCAGGGGTTGCATTGCTCCCAGGGCCCATTGCTCAGTGGTTGCATTAGTTCTGGGGCCCATTACTCAGTGGTTGCATTGGTTCTGGGGCCCATTACTCAGTGGTCGCATTGGTTCTGGGGCCCATTACTCAGGGGTTGCATTGCTCCCAGGGCCCATTACTCAGGGATTGCATTGCTCCCAGGGCCCATTACTCAGGGGTTTCATTGGTTCCAGGGCCCATTATTCAGGGATTACATTGATCCCAGGTCCCATTACTCAGGGATTGCAGTGCTCCCAGGACCAATTGCTCGGGGATTGCATTGCTCCCAGGGTCCATTGCCCAGGGGTTGCATTGCTCCCAGTGCTCAGTGGTTGCATTGGTTCTGGGGCCCATTACTCAGTGGTTGCATTGGTTCTGGGGCCCATTACTCAGGGGTTGCATTGGTTCTGGGGCCCATTACTCAGGGGTTGCATTGCTCCAAGGGCCCATTACTCAGGGATTGCATTGCTCCCAGGGCCCATTGCTCAGGGGTTGCATTGCTCCCAGGGCCCATTGCTCAGGTGTTGCATTGCTCCCATGGCCCATTACTCAGGGATTGCATTGCTCCCAGGGCCCATTACTCAGGGATTGCATTGCTCCCAGGGCCCATTACTCAGGGGTTTCATTGGTTCCGGGGCCCATTATTCAAGGATTACATTAATCCCAGGTCCCATTACTCGGGGATTGCAGTGCTCCCAGGACCAATTGCTTGGGGATTGCATTGCTCCCAGGGTCCATTGCTCAGGGATTGTATTTCTCCCTGGGTCCATTGCCCAGGGGTTGCATTGCTCCCAGGGCCCATTACTCAGTGGTTGCATTGGTTCTGAGGCCCATTACTCAGTGGTTGCATTGGTTCTGGGGCCCATTACTCAGGGGTTGCATTGCTCCCAGGGCCCATTACTCAGGCCTTTGTTACACACAGTTCTCATTGGTCCCAGGCCTTTGTTACACACAGTTCTCATTGGTCCCAGGCCATTGTTAAACACGGTTTTCATTGATCTCAGGCCTTTGTTAAACACGGTTTTCATTGCTCTCAGGCCTTTGTTAAACACGGTTTTCATTGCTCTCAGGCCTTTGTTAAACACGGTTCTCATTGCTCTCAGGCCTTTGCTACACACAGTTCTCATTGCTCCTGGGTCCGTTATATACAGTTCTCATTGCTCCTGGGTCCGTTATATACAGTTCTCGTTGCTCCTGGGTCCGTTACATACAGTTCTCGTTGCTCCTGGGTCCGTTACACAGAGTATACGGAGAGAGCAGAGAATGACTCATACATTTGCTGCTTGTTGTTTTCTTTCACAGATGGCTTTATCCTCATTTGAAATGATTTTTTGGTTGTGAGTCATGGTGTTACATAGAGAGTTACTACCCCCCCCACCCATCACAAGCTCACGTTTGGCGTTTGTGACTCATTGCTGTGATCTGCAGGAAACATATGAGCTGGAGAAAAAGACAGAGGAATGCAGGGAATGGGAATCTCTACAATATGGGACAGACCTATACCTCGCATGGCCAACAAGGAGGTATGCAGTGCATGGGGGGAGCCCTGGGGTTATATAGGGAGAGTTATATGGAGTAATAGGAGGAGTTATAGGGAGAGTTATATGGAGTAATAGGAGGGGTTATAGGGAGGGTTATATGGAGTAATAGGAGGAGTTATAGGGAGAGTTATATGGAGTAATAGGAGGTGTTATTGGGAGGTTATATGGAGTAATAGGAGGAGTTATAGGGAGGGTTATATGGAGTAATAGGAGGAGTTATAGGGAGGGTTATATGGAGTAATAGGAGGGGTTATAGGGAAGGTTATATGGAGTAATAGGAGGGGTTATAGGGAGGTTATATGGAGTAATAGGAGGAGTTATAGGGAGGGTTATATGGAGTAATAGGAGGGGATATAGGGAGGATTATATGGAGTAATAGGAGGAGTTATAGGGAGGGTTATATGGAGTAATAGGAGGAGTTATAGGGAGGGTTATATGGAGTAATAGGAGGTGTTATAGGGAGGTTATATGGAGTAATAGGAGGGTTATATGGAGTAATAGGAGGAGTTATAGGGAGGGTTATATGGAGTAATAGGAGGAGTTATAGGGAGGGTTATATGGAGTAATAGGAGGTGTTATAGGGAGGTTATATGGAGTAATAGGAGGAGTTATAGGGAGAGTTATATGGAGTAGTAGGAGGGGTTATAGGGAGGGTTATATGGAGTAATAGGAGGAGTTATAGGGAGGGTTATATGGAGTAATAGGAGGGGTTATAGGGAGGTTATATGGAGTAATAGGAGGAGTAATAGGGAGGGTTATATGGAGTAATAGGAGGAGTTATAGGGAGGGTTATATGGAGTAATAGGAGGAGTTATAGGGAGAGGTTATATTGAGTAATAGGAGGAGATATAGGGAGGGTTATATGGAGTAATAGGAGGAGATATAGGGAGGGTTATATGGAGTAATAGGAGGAGTTATAGGGAGGGTTATATGGAGTAATAGGAGGAGATATAGGAAGGGTTATATTGAGTAATAGGAGGGGTTATAGGGAGGTTATATGGAGTAATAGGAGGAGTTATAGGGAGAGGTTATATGGAGTAATAGGAGGAGTAATAGGGAGAGGTTATATGGAGTAATAGGAGGAGTTATAGGGAGGGTTATATGGAGTAATGGGAGGGGTTATAGGGAGGTTATATGGAGTAATGGGAGGGGTTATAGGGAGGTTATATGGAGTAATGGGAGGGGTTATAGGGAGAGTTATATGGAGTAATGGGAGGAGTTACAGGGAGGGTTATATGGAGTAATAGGAGGGGGTATATGAAGTAATAGGAGTTATAGGGAGTAATTGGAGGAGTTATAAAGAGGTTTATAGGGAGTAATAGGAGGAGTTATAGGGAGGTGTTATACGGAGGTTTATAGGGAGTAATGGGAGGGGTTATATGGAGGTGTTATACAGAGGTTTATAGGGAGTAATAGGAGGAGTTATAGGGAGGGTTATGTGGAGTAAGAGCAGGAGTTATAGGGAGGGTTAAATGGAGTAATATGAGTTCTAGGGAATAATAGGAGGAGTTATAAAGAGGTTCATAGGGAGTAATAGGAGGAGTTATATGGAGTAATAGGAGGAGTTATAGGGAGGAGTTATATTGAGTAATAGGGAGGTGTTATACGGAGGTGTATAGGGAGTAATGGGAGGGGTTATATGGAGGGTTTTATTGGCTAATAGGAGTTATATGGAGGTGTTATAGGAAGGGTTATATAGAGTAAGCAGATGAATTATGCAGAATTTTCCATGAAGTAATTAATTGCTAGGTGGCTGATTATTTGAAGGTGGGTTAATAGGAGGGTGTAGAGCGATGAGTTATAATATAGAATGATAGGATGAGCCAAAGACCGTTTTGTAGTTGCAGTACAGGACGTGTGATGTGTGAGGTTGATTTCTGATATTAGGGGTTAACCGAGCCCGCGGTTTGTGTTACCAAGTTACAAGGTTGTAAAAGCTGAAATTAAAATGCATTTCCTGCCCCTTCCTCTTTCTCTTCCATGTTATACGGTTGACTCGTGGCCCTGCAGGTGCTCGCTTCTCTGCCACAGATCTGCTGGGGATTATCACACATTTTCACCAGATTATTTCCTGTCTGCTAGAAAAGGCGAGCTTATCTTGTTCACCGAAACGTCCTGAACGCCGCCAATCCCGCACCTCGGTTAGAATCATGTGCAATGTTTGGAGTAAGACTTAATGGACGTATCATTAATCTACATTCGCCATGCATTCAGTGATTTCATTCAGACTCCATCTCACAGGACCCCCTCCGGTGGAAAGGTGAGTACGTAGAGAAGTGTCTTTTTAAATGCTGTATTCCATCCGTGGCTGCAGAGCCCACACAATGTTCCATACATATATTAAACCTTAATATTAAGCAGCATGTCACCTCACAGATCTACAGCATCATGTTGCTCAATTCTTTCTTATTAATATGGTTTCCCAGAGCTTTCAGCGTGAAACACAAAGTTCTGTAAACGGGAAGTGGCAAACTTTGATGCAAATATCGTCTGATTCATCCTCTCCGTTCTGCTTGCTGTATCTGATGGGTGAATTTTGCACAGAAATAAAGTGTAAAATACTGTATTATTGTTCAAGCAAAAAACAATCATTACACATGGAACATTAGCTTCAAAACAGAATTTGTACTGTTTCGTGCCATTTTCCCCACTTTTTTTTAGTCTTACACGACACGAGGGGTATGCAGTATTCTATAATATACAAAAGGTTTCCATAGCATTGTGTGCATGTCCTATAATCTTATTACATGTTTAAATCACACAATGCTGAGTGCTATTTAATATCATATTACATGTTTATATAGGTGTAAGGTGCTTCTGTTTGATATTAAACTACATCTTTTTAACATCTAATCATTCAACACAATCAAAATATTTAAAATTGTTACTCTTTAGACTTTGAAACGGTCAATGAAACATGATCCTTCCTCGAGCTTTGTACGTGCATATTAAGCCACTGCTATTGATTTGAAACAGGTTGTAGGACCCTCGTAAAAGAAAATGTAAAGACATCTAAAAAGAAATGGTGGCCCTACCCATTCGGTATAAACAGGAATTTATTTACTAGGTTAAGAATCGCAGAGAACCGACATGGGAACTGCAATTAAACACCAAAATAGCTGTACTCTAAAAATTTCTGAGTTGGAGAATGAGTCCAGTTAATTTATTTTGGACTGTAATTTGGAAACTTTCGTCAGTTCTTTACAATTCCTTGTTTAGTGAATAAAGCAGTGAGTGTGAGACGATCTCATTGAACGAGTATTCACCTGGAACATGAAGCGCTGTGCAGTTACAGGTTATACTGAAAATCTACAATATGGAATTAAAGTATTCATATTTTATATATCTTCATACTGAACCAAGGTTTCATTCTGGTCCACCAACTCTAAGCCCTTATTCCAAAGCCTGCTCTGACTGTAAACGTGGACAGATAGTAAAAAAAGTGAGATTTATTTTTCCGTTTGACCCAGTTTCTCCTGTATCTGGAGCTGCTAGCTAGATTTAAACGGAGAGCCAACCATCACGCAGAACTTGTAATCACAGTTACTTCTATAATACTCAGGTCACAGGAGCATTAGTCCCCAAACCCTTTTATTCTGGTTGAAAAATAAATTTTGAAGTGTGCGTGATGCGTTTCAAGCCTTAAAAAAACAAACACTCTTATTCATGAACTGATTCTTTCAGTCTGCGTGTTCTAAGCTAGTTAATTCAAATGCTGTTTGTATTTTTCATGAGATGAGTGAAGTTGCTTTTTGAATTTCATTTTTCTTGGCCTGTGTATAAAAGTAGCAATAAATTGTTATATAAAGTCTTAATTTCTTACACTATGCCAAACATACACTCAACCCCTGAGTCTGATCACCTACAGTCATGGGGAAAAGAAAATACACCCTCTTTGAGTTCTATGGTTTTACACAGGGGTCAAGTAATGGGGAATAAAGTGTGGGAACTCATACATACATACAGACGAATACACTCACAGACACACATTCACAGAAACACACACATACACACAAATTATTCATATTTTTAAAAAATGTCCACCCAGCTTCTCTACCTGGAATGCGCACGCATTCAGCCGGTCACATAGGAAAGCATTCACAATGCTTTCCTATGGACGCTTGCGTGCTCTCACTGTGAAAATCACAGTGAGAAGCACGCAAGCGCCTCTAGTGGCTGTCAATGAGACAGCCACTAGAGGACTAGGGGGAAGGCTTAACCCATTCATAAACATAGCAGTTTCTCTGAAACTGCTATGTTTATGAAAAAATGGGTTAACCCTAGCTGGACCTGGCACCCAGACCACTTCATTAAGCTGAAGTGGTCTGGGTGCCTAGAGTGGTCCTTTAACACAATGCCAATGAGGAAAAACATCAGGGAGAGGAATCAGCAGTAATGCGGCGGGTTACTCAACGTATTACAGGAATTTGATTTTTGTTAAATAAATCATGGCACGGTGTAATATGTCATGTGTTCTTGTTCATCTGAGATTGTATTTACCTAATTTTGAGACCTTCTAAGGGACAGATGATTGTTATTATGTATTGACATGTAAAACCATAGAATTCAAAAAGGTTCCAAATTCTTTATTTTTCCCATGACTGTTTATTATACCTTTCTCCCTTTCACTAGACCCTCACCTTTTACACAGGACCCTCACCTTTTGTATGCATTCCTGTATGGTGATGTATTTGATGATTTCCGCACGGTTCATACATTATATAAGATTTTTGATCTGACAATGTGCTTACACTTAGTTGGCCCATTCCAGGTGTTTTTTTTCCCCAGTTTCCAGAGCCCCTTTCTGAGAATCAGTTTAGATATTTAAATATGAAGGCCCCCACCAATCCCTCAGTATAGTTGTTCTAACCCTTTGAAACGTATCCCCTCAAAGAGAAATGCTAAGTGACAAATCATTCAAGAAAGATTCCTGCGTGCTGTCTGTGGTGCTGGTTGTTCTGTAAGTGTAAGTGTAACGAGATCTTATCTGAGGAGCTCACTGCATGACTGCAAATGATCTAGGATCATGGATTACGTGGAGCAAAGCTGACATAATACTAGCTAAGGGAATTAAAATTTAATCTACGTCTGAGCCAAATGGAACAATTTTTACGCCAAGAGTCGATGTAAAAACACTGCATAACGTGTTATACACATAGCTTATCAAAGGTGAAATATGGAACCCAGGGTGGAATGTTATCGGTTCTCCTAAGAACATGCTTTTAATGGTAGAAAAATATTTAAAACAATATTATCATACAGGTCTGAGATTACCTGGGCCCTTTCACCCACTGAGAACCTAATACTGCTGTCTCCAAAGTCTCTTGGCTCGTTGCAAGGATGCAATGGATATTCTGCAGCACAGTGCCTCATGTTGGGTCTGCAATTGATATTTAATACAGTCCCAGATTGGGAAAAGTATTAACCAGCTGCTAAACCTAACCTGTAAAATTTGGCAACACTAATAAACAATGCTTTAGCCTGTACTAAAGTCATTAATTTGGCTTACTGATAACAAACCAAGTTTTTCCTCATTATGGCTGTCATCTTACCCTTAACCCTAAAACCAGGAACCTGGTAGAATGATACCAGATTTAAGTACTACGTCAATTATGCATCATATATGATGGCAACAAAACGTGCCATTTCCAGTGTGCTCTGTTCCTGTTTAGGAAACTAAACAACCCACAAAATAAATAATATAGCTCATTGGTCATGTCCATATGTTTTTTAAACCCTTAGATCCACTTTTAGATAATTGACTGCAGTAGAAACGGGAGACAGATCATGAAATGAGTATTCTTGATAAGAGCACACTTAAAGGATCACTATAGGGCCAGGAACACAAACATGTATTCCTGAGCCTATAGTGTTAACACCACCATTTAGCCCCTCATGCCTCCATAAATATAGCAAAATCTTACTGTATTCAAGCCTGAAGCTGTAACTCTGCATGCTGTTAGACTCAGAAAACGAGCAGTCTGCTGACATCATCAGAAGTGGTAGCCTGATCCAATCACAATGCTTCCCCATAGGATTGGCCGAGACTGACAAAGAGGCAGATCAGGGGCAGAGCCAGCACAATTTAAACACAGCCCTGGCCAATCAGCATCTCCTCATGAGGAAAGTTCAATGTCTGCATGCAGAGGGAGGAGATAATGAATGTTTGGATGCATTTTAGGGAGCCATGACCCAGGAAGGATCTGTAACAGCCATCTGAGGAGTGGCCAGTGAAGTTATCACTAGGCTGTAATGTAAACACTGCATTTTCTCTGAAAAGACAGTGTTTACAGCAAAAGGCCTAAAGGTAATGATTCGAGTCAATAGAACAAATTCAATAAGCTGTAGTTGTTCTGGTGACTATGGTGTCCCTTTAATCATTTAAAAAGAACAATTTGGGAATGTGATGGAAGCGCCACTACCACTGACTTGTGGAGAGGCTTGAAGGCCAGCTTCCGGACCCAAGAGCCCCCGAAATTGGCTATTTTCACTGTGGGGAGAGATATGGGGGCCGTGGATGCTAATTTTGCTTCTCAGACAGCATTGGGGACCTCTGGGGATTACCAGGACTCTTCTTAAACCTTGAGGGCCTGACCGGGAAATAACCTGAATCTTTTTGGAACTGTTCATTAGATCGGGACTGTGCCTCAATCTGGTGAATCTTTAATTGGGTGTTCAGTAAAACTTTAACACGCTGTAGCTTGGGCATGAATTCTCCAATCAGGGCACTATTTTTACAATAAGGGCACTTAGTGAGGAGCTATCGAGGGATATATAATGTGTACTGTTCAGAGAAATAAGGTTCTGGAGGGCATTTTTTACCTCTAGATCTTTGAGGGCACAGCAGGGAGCCTTTTGTGTTAACTGGAGATGGTGGCTGGGAGATACTATTGTACTGTGCATTGCATTGTATGTAGGACCCCAGCATTGTTGTGTGTAATACAGATCATTCTTCCCCTCTACATTCAGTCTTGAATAATGTATGGAGGAAAAGCTGCAATCGCTGCTTTACAGGAGAGAAGGTCTCCAGAGGTAAAACCACTGCAGCCTGGTCTAATGGAAGAGGTTCTCAGAGACCCCAGTAAGGCTTCTAGATCTGAAGCACTATAGAGTCCCTGGTAGCATGGAGGAAAATGATGTGGCGGAGGTACTCAGTCGGGGTACAGGAGCTCTGTCACAGGGAATCACTACCCTGAAATCTAATATAAACTAATCAATACTTATGCCAAGTAAATGATCTGGATATTTAATTGCATCATATGTCCATTAGGTGTTAAGTCCACCACAATATCAAAGAACCCCAATATTAGTGGGTCCCAATCTTGTTTCAACATGGCTCAATATTAGTTTACTGTCTGTGTTAACCCTTTCAATGCCCAAATTCAGTTAAACCTTTTGCCCCCTGTAGTGGACCACCAGTAACCCGACTGGTTACCTCCGCTAATTCCTTCCTTCAGCCACTCTGGAACCATTAAAGCATACAGACATCCATTCCCCCAGTAACCAGACGAAACATAGTTCTGGGAGTCAACTGAGGTTTATTGGAACACACACGTCTTTTATGCACAGATCCCTACATGGGGTTTCCCATACAATAATACAGGGGTTTTCCTCTACAGAAAAATATACAATATTCTAAAACATTGCAAAAATACATTTTAAAAGGGGCTAATTTGATTGCATGAGAGGTGAGAGCCTACAATCGAAATTCCTCTTTGAAGCTGGGACCCCAACTGAGCCACTCTGCAAGTTGTAAGAACTAAAACTTACCCACAGATTAATAACCAAGCCTCATTTATATTACATTCAGAATGGGACAAGCACATTCTTCTAATCAAGCCCAAACATGATTTGCGAACAAGGGGAAAAAACATACGAATGAATAGTAGTTCTGCCACACAGTTCCCCCTTAACCACAAGCCAGCATACACAGTCGGATCGGCTTGGGGATATCTGTGAAGTACGGCTGTCCATACAATCAGTGCTGGTGTTTCCCTAGGGCTCACAGCACAGCAAGGCATTCTTGTTTGATGGTGCTGTCGCGCTCCTTTCTGGGTCAAAGTTTCCTGTTCAGATGCGACATCATCTCTGACCTGACTTAATACCGCACCCCATCCAAACATTCAAGCGCCTGGACCTCAGAATGTAAGTAAGTCTCCGTGATATGGGCCTGGGATCAGGGACGGCAGGAACGCTGAGGTCAACTGGCCTAGGTCATTCCCCAGTAAGCCGTCGGTGGGGAGATCCTGTATTAATCCCAAATCAATCAGACCTGATCCGACACCCCAATTCAAGTGGACCCTCGCAGTGGGTAACCCGTGTACTGCTGCCCGTACCCTATGCATTTTGGAGCATGAAATATAATCCATGAAACCTCACTCACCCTCATTTATACTCTTTAATGATTGCCAGTATGTAGAGGAACATATTTATCTGCCAGAAGCCACTAGTCACTGATATAATGCCTGTAAAGTTTCAGAAAATTTCAGCTTACCTCTTTCAATCAGTTTAGGAGGTTTCAATGGGTGATAACACTCCTACTATTAGAGGTGAGGGACAGTGAATGGATGCTATCATTTCAGTGTCAGCATAACATTAGCATTCCAGAGTTTGACAAAGATTGCTATAGCACAGTGGTTCCCAAACATTTCAGGTTCAAAGCACCCTTAATATTTTAATATTTTTCCAAGGCGCCCCTGTAGCTGAGCTAGAATAATAAAATCCACAAGTCTCCACTGATCTTCTATAACGCAGGAAAAATAGCGTTGTTCAACAGATATACCCAATTCCCCCAGTAACCGGACGACACAGTTCGGTGAGTCAACTGATTTTTATTTAGTCACAGCAGGCTTTTATGCCCAGTCCCCTACACGGGGTTTACAAAATAGGAAAGGTCTCAATCCCAGAATTCTCTGTGCCTGAGAGATAATTGCGTGAGGAGATTCCTTTAATTGAATTATCTCTCAGGTACAGAAAATCCCACAAAATCTACTGTACCCCAAAAGTGTCCCCACCGTCCACAGGAACCCCACAAAAAGTACATTCCCAGATAGTCCTGATCTGAGGGTACAAAATATCCAGGAATCACTCAGATCGGTTTGGTGGAACGGAAATACCATCAAAGTAAAGTTTTTACTGGCCAGACCCGAGGCGTTAGCCCATAAAAATTCCAGGGAAATAGGTGTCCTGGCTGGTCTCTGCTCGTGGGGTTCCAGTGCGAACACCATACAAGGGAATATCTTGTTTTCAGGATACGAATGTTCCCCCTGTTCGGTAGTTTATATTTCCCGAAAGTCGTTCATGTGGATGAACTGGAATGGGCAGTGGTCGAAGGTTTACCGGTGTTCACGTGAGTGCCTAGCCGAAAAGAGTTCCAGGCACTTGATGACCAAGTACCGCTGCCCTCGTTCAGGAGACAAGATGGCCGCCATTCCCTCTCTGCCACGTGTTCGGTTATTTGAAATGGCGGCCACCCAGGGGAAGCACTCATTGATTGTTTCCCTTGCGGTTTCACACTTATAGGGTTGGTGTCAACGTTCTAATGGGGTAATGGGGTGGTCCTCGTTCGGGAGATGAATGGATTCTGTTCGTAAGCAATCTCCCGAACGGCAAAGGAAATAAACACAAATTAACATGGGAAAGCATCTGAAATGGGATTCACAATCCAATGTTTCCAAGGGAAACTGGGTACCCCTGTTGGCAGGAAAACTGTCTGGACGTGCAGCTGAGGCGTATCGGGCAGTACTTGATGAGGACAGCAAAAACTACACCAGGGTCAAACAAGCCATTTTAGCGCCGTATGACATCACACCCCAGGCATACCAACTCCGAATTCAAAAACTGATGAAAGCAGGAGAAAGATTCACACACTTGCATGCACGAGTGGGCATGCCGACTTCAAAGAGCTGACATGGGATGGGTGCAGGCTAACCAAGCCACAACTATGGAGGAGCTATTCCAGCTTATACCCCCAAAACTATGTGTCGTCTGGTTACTGGGAGGGGAAAGGGCTAATCACTACTCCAGCTTGTTCCAGTGTGGAGGATTCAACACGGAAAGTCTTGTAAGGACTAGAGCTCCCAGGACTGAGTGTCGTCCAGTGCCTGGGAGTGGATAGAGTGAGGCATTTGGCTCCAGGACAGAGTGGTTCCAGGACCCCAGTGAAGTCACAGCAACTGGGGGCAGGAGTGCTGCGGTTTGTCCCCTGTTCCAGCTAGGAAGTGGTCCTTGGCGGAGGTACCCAGCCGGGGTAGAGGGAGCTCCGTTACAGCCCCAAGTAAAAACAAAATTGTATGTTGTATATATGTACAGCGCAGCGGCATATACTGGGCCCCTGTACAACAGAAATGCTTGCAGTTCAAGCGCAGATCCAGAGCCTAATCTTGGGAGGGACACTGGTAGATTATTTAAAGAAACAATCCGGGCACAATAACCACTATAGCACTTTGTAGTGGTTATGGTGCCAGTAGTGCCGTAGTGCCCTCTCAGAGTAAGTAGTCAAACTGTTTAGGAACAGTTTGACAATCTACCTGGGATCTGCTGGGATAGGGGCTGTAGAAGGGGATAGGGGCAGTAGTGTATGTGAGGGTTGCAATGTGTGTGTGTTTGTGAGTGGTGCCATGTGCGTGTGTATGAGTAGTGCAGTGTGTGTGTGTATGTGGGGCAGTTTCTGCATGAGGGGTGTACAGTGTGTGTGGGGGGCAGGTTGTATGAGGGGTACAGTGTGTGTGGGGGAGGTGCAGTGTGTGTGTATGGTTGGCAGTGTGTGTGGAGGGAGTTATTGTGTCTCTGTGCGGGTAGGAGGGCAAATTCATATTTATTTAGAAAATATTTTACCAGGAAAGATACTGTGTCAAAAGCGACCTCGCCACTGGTTTTTGGAGGGGACTGATTGCCAGCCTCTTGCCTTGGGACTATGGCCCCTGGGAGATTGGACACTTTAGAAACAGCATTGGGGCTTATGGACTTGTATTGGACCATGCTGGCCCTTTAAGAACCATCTGGGGACATATTGAGACTGTGTGTGACAATGCCCCATTAAGACTATGACCCCAGACCTTTAAAATCCTTTGTGCATGGCTTTCTCCCATTTGCTTCAGTAAATAGGTCTTACTGAACCAAGTACCACACAGGCGGACCACCCAGAAGTGGAAGTGTGCAGGCAATTTACCTCCCAGGCTGGGAGCCTGCTGTAGGTAAATTACCGACCACTGGAGGGCCGCCATTCGTACAAACGAACATGTGGCGGCGGCCATCTTTATTCAGGTGAACGCGTTCAAGGTGTGTGCAGCCAAATTCATGGAAATGAAATCGGCTACACATTTAGCCGAACACTGCTGACCCTTACCTTCTCCTCCTCTGAGTTTTCAGCCACAGAAACGAATTTCCGTTCGGCCATTCAAACGCATGTTCGAATGGGACTTAGTCATTTTTTCAGTGTGAAATTGACCGACCGCACAGCCCAAATCTATAGAACTGTTTTGGGCAGGAAAATGTGCTTGCGGTCGGTCATAAAGGACTTCCAGCTAAATTTGTATCTACTGGAGAGATTTGTATGATTTTTGAAAGTGTTCATATTTGAAGTATGCTGGTTCTGAAAATGTATTCTGAAAATGCATTTATGTGAATGGCATGTATAGTTTTAAAGTTACAGTACATGTATAAAAAGTATATTCTATCACAGGCAGAGGGGAGGATTTTGTGGGAATGAATGGGAGTGTTTTACTATATTGTACGTGTTGGATTGGTTGTTCTTCAAAACCCTGTGGGCTGTACTATATGTGTAAAATGTGCATAAAAGCAGAGTGTTTCATTAAAACACTCCTATTGGGGGAATCTGCTACAAGGGATTGCTATGCTAGTCATACTCTCTTGCTATATCACTACTAAGCTCTTGTAAGAGCTTGTTCCTGTCTTGCTCTCTGAAGGAGTCTATGGTGGTTATGGTGTCGGCTGGAGTGCTTGGAGCCCTCAGGAAGCTCTGGGAGCATCCTTCAACGGAGGTACCCAGTCGGCGTGCCAGGTGATCACAGATACAGATCACAGATGTTACAGATACATTGAGATTTCTCTCGTTTTCAAGTATGTCCTGGGTCCACAAAACATTACATTGATTCAATATGGTACAATCAAATTCAAAAACAATATTAATACACAATACATAAAAAATTTAACATAGAACAGGTAGGAAATATATATTCACCCATGACAGGTGCATTCTGTTTTGAGGTATATAGAGAGGGATCTCTTAAAGGACTTTAGGCTTGGGGAAGATTTGAAAGTGTGCGGGAGGTCGTTCCATAATTGCAGCGCTCTGTTAGAAAAGGAGGATCGGGCTGCTTTCTTTTTGTATTGAGGTAGACTAAATAAAGTGCTGGTACAGGATCAGAGGTTTTATATATATATATATATATATATATATATATATATTTTTTTTTTAAATAAAAATTATTTTAATATTCCCCCCTCCCTGCTTACCTTTGCCTGGGAGGGGGGACGGTACTCAACCATGGTGCTCCGGTGGGGAAGCCCTGGCAATCCTAGTGGTGAGAGTGAACTCTAGCAGCTTAAGGAGCTCCTAGAGTTCACTCTCGCGAGATTCTGAGCATTGCCACGGTAACCGTGGGAAACCCGGCGGAGCTGCAGGTTAGAGCTCCCCCGGGTCCTCTCTCCCTCCCCTGCCAGCTGCCAAATTACACTGCTAGCGGGCCGGAGAGGGAGATCTCTGATCTCCCCTCCGGTCCTGCAGAGCTGGCACAGGAGATTGAGGCAATGAAAATATCTTGGGGCTCCCTTGTGTGTCTGGGGTGCCGTGGCACACAGTTTGGGAACGGCTGCTATAGCAGTTTTAAATACTTTTATTTATAAATATATAATTTAACTGTAAATACTGTATGTGGAAATTATGTTCAAATGCAGACATTCTTTTTACATTTTTTTGCCATTTTTTGTAATCTGTGCTGCTAGTAATGATGTTTTGCTTCACATTTCAGATCCTGTGTGAAATATTTATACTCTCTAAAGCTTTTCATTTTTAAAATATTTTTGATAAAAGATAAACGAATAAGTGAAAAATACCTTTTCAGTTTGTGTGCAAAGCAATAAATACACAAAATTGCTGCCTTATGATATGTTTATATGCAAGCTATGCATCCCTTGCTTCAAATAAATCTAATACTAAGATGTTTTTCTTAACCATGGATTTTGGTTAAAGCAGTCCTCCGCACCCCACAGGTGTCCCACATCAAAACATATGGCATATAAATTCTAATAGTCTCATTTTTTTAAAATTTTGATATGTTTTGATTGATATATATATATATATTAATATATCAAAACATATCAACATTTTACAAAATTTGAATAGTTTCATAATATTAAATCATTTTGTGGAAGGACAAAAGGTAATTGCCTCATATTCCTAGATGGGACAATTCATTCTCATTTCCATTGCTTTTTTGGAGGACCACATACATTACTGTAGCACATATTCAGGAAGATCTTTACTATGTTTTCCTAAATTCTATAGCATTTTTAAAGCACAGCGTGTTTTCAAATATGTTGACACATTCTCCCTTTTCTTTTTCTTTCAATAGAAACATCTATTCAGGAAACTCTTGTACCAGATGGACGAGACTTGGAATGTCTACAACTCTCGTTGCCAACCATGGCTATGTCTGCTGTCTATTAAATCCCACCCTCTTCTAAAACATATCAAGTATCTACGCAAACCAGCTGCTTGCAAGCAATTTCTACTCCACTTTATCCGTTCACCCAACAGTGTGTGGCAAAGAGTTTGACATCGGCCTGACAACAGCCACGACAGCTTCAACTATGGAGAATGCTAAACTGTCTGTAATGTTGAATGCGCAGCCTTCTACTGATATCCAGAGAAATTCCATTCAAACAATCACGCTGAATGTTGTCAACACTTTGCCTATTCTATCTGCTGGTTACTCTTCTGCCCCCAACATCGTCACGCATGGGAAATCAAAGAATGTTGGGAAACATGTGTGCAAGCACTGCGGTAGAGATTGTTTGAAGCCCAGTGTCCTGGAGAAACACATCCGCTCACACACCGGCGAAAGACCATTTCCATGTGCAACTTGTGGCATTTCATTCAAAACTCAAAGCAATCTGTACAAACATCGAAGGACACAAACTCATGTGAACAACATTAAACTAAGCTCGGCCCCTAGCATCGATCTAAAAGGCCAAGTTGGTGATCAAGTAGGGGACAATTTAATGGACAATCTGAAACATATCACAGAGAAAGGCATTGCTATAGACACTGGACAGTCTACTCAACATACCAGTTCAGACACCAGTTTCTCTTCACAGGAAAATACTGGCTTATCCTTCTTTACAAGTGAAGACATGTCTGCCCAAGCTATCAACTCTCAATTGGTTCATGGAAACTGTGAGAAGACTGGTCAGCTTTCATCCAAAACAGCAATTATTTCACCCCCTGTACCAAATCAGAAGAGGATGCTAAAAAGTCAGAACTCTCCATCTGGAAATAGGCAGATTCAGGTGCAACGACAGTATGAGACTGGTGTAGAAAAGCAATGGGAACGCAGTCCATCTGAGTACAAATTGAAAAAATGTGAGAGCACAGACTCTGGGTATTTGTCACATTCAGACAGTGCTGATCTGCAAATGTTTTCCGGTAGCCCACTTCACAGTCTGAGTGAGTGCAGCCTTGAGTCTGAACATGCACTTAGCACTAGTTCACTTCAGGCTTCAAGCGAGGACTGTGACGATAAAACACTGACTGGGAAGAAAACACTAGAAGAGCATATTACCATGCTGATTTCTCGAAACCAAGCCTTGGTAGATGACTCTCACTTAGACAATGTTCGTCCTCGTAAAACCACTTTATCCAAACAAGGGAGCATCGATCTTCCAATGCCCTACACCTTCAAAGACTCTTTTCACTTTGACATTAAATCCCTTGATGTGAACAGGAAGAAGGTTTTTCCATGTCCTAACAGGTCTACCTTCAATCCAGCAGAGAAAGGCAAACCTCTCTTTTTTCACTCCGTCCCCACTCAGTTCTCCACTACAATGGATAACGTAACCATGACACGCTGCAACTCATTGCCATTTGTTGAAAGCTGTAGGTTAACACCAGATAAGCAAAATTCTAAATGCCAGTCCATCGCAAAGCAACCATTAGATGCAAGTTTTGCGAGTCTATTGCTAACCAGTACTGCTGCGGCCCACACAGTGGATTTTTCAAGGAGCCATCCACGGGGGCTTGTTAGACAGACCGCTGTTGATGAGGTACTGGTTAACCCTGCAGCTGAATGCCATTTTCCAGAGGTGATAAAAAGCAAGAAGAAGCACTCAAGTGACCACCCTGCCTCGAAGTGCAAGGGAGCCAGTAAGAGAGGTGGCTCGAAAAAGACAAACATGTTTTCTCATGAAAAGTGGCAGATGTATGGGGATGAAACATTCAAAAAACTTTACCAAAACGTAGAGAAAAATGAGAGTTCCAGAAAGGTGAAGCAAGAAATTGCAGAAACAACGAGTTTGGTTGACAATGAAAAAAAAATCCCGATTGCAGGTGGCGCAGTAAATGTAAGTGAAAATATCACCATAAAAACTTCAAAACACTTGTTTAAGATTGCCTCTGGAGGTTTTAGGCAGGAACCTTCACTCCTATATGAACCACGGTCACCCAATGGCCATCATCCAAATTCTTCAGAACTCACCCAGGGAAGCAAAACATTACACTCAGGAATCAACTACAAACACTCAATCCAAAAAGATGTTAAAGTGTGTACCTCAGAAGAGAAACTGTTTGCTTATCTCTCCTCTTCAAAAACTGAATTTCCACAACCTCTTCTAAAGGATCAGAGTGTTAGTGCCAGTTCCAGCTGTGTGGCAGTTGAATTAAAAGAAGTAGAGTGCAAGTCGCCCTCAAATACAGAAAAATGTATCAATTCTGAAAAATTACATTCAGAAAGAAAGAAGTTTAAAGTGGCTGAGATCAGAGATACACCATCTGATAGTAATGCAAGTTGTTTAGAAACAGATAGGGGTAAGGACATTCAAAGGACATTCTTTAATAAATACTCTTTGGACCAATTGCAGAAAGCAAAGGTACATTTGGGAGTAGATGTCCGTGGTAGGACGGGTCTTGACACATTTGCTATTGAAGCAAGGGCCTCACAAGTGAATGTGGATAACGTGAATACACTTTCTTCCAATATAAAATGTAATGCCCAGGGTTCAACTGTTCATCTCTCCGGTAAGACCCACATTTCAGGACAGTTTTCTTATCAGTTCATAGAGCCACCGACACCACCAAATAAAAATATATTCTCGCCAAGGTATGTTATCAAATTACGAAGTGATGGACTGTCGTCTGCTGATGTATCTGCTAAACAGGACTGTGGTCATAGAATGTCTTTTGAAGATACAGCAGTACACTCCCTGGATTCCGCACACTCGAAACAATATTTGAATTCTGTGTCTGTATTCTCGGCTCAGACTCAACCAGGGCAAACACTTCCTCCTCCAGATCCATTCAAGTTAAACCATACCACTGATTTCCTAAATGCACCTTCTCTAAATGCATCACGTATCTCCAAGATGTCCTTCGAACAAGGGCCAAACTTGACCCAACATGATGAGAGGCATACTGGCTACCACAATGATTCAGATGCAGAGAAAATCACAGATACACAGCATATATTAGTAGAAATGACATCTGCTGTTGCTAAAAACATTGAGGGATTGCTGGAAACTTTAGAGGATCAATGTCCAGACAAGATAGCACAGACACAACATCAACTCAGCTTGTCTGGATATGTAAAAACCTCATCAAAAATGTATTCAAATGAAACACCAAACATTAAGCCAGAAATAGAATCAGGAGGCCGTGACCATGAGCCCACCAGACTGATTACTGGCCATTCTCAGGAGATACAACTACACCTTTTGGATAATTCCCACCCTGGTCAGCTCTCCAGGAACCAGCTAGCAAAACCGATAACCAATATGAACTCAGGGAATAGCAAAGACCTAACAACTGAGACCACTTTTTCAGTTTTAAATACTGAGCCAAGTCCTACTTGGTGCTGGTTAAACAAAAGTGTTCCTCTCCCTGCAGAGCAGAAAGACAAGTCATTTTCTGTTTACGCTTCAGTAACATGCAACACCATGGACCACAAGAGACCAGGATCAGCGGTCCTGATCCCATTTCAAGAAGGGAGACCTGTTGGCAGCATGACTCAGCTTAGAAGTGTGTCCTCTCTCTCCAGGGTGTCCCAAAGAGATATGGTAAAATTATTACCTTGACTTCTTCAATTTCCTGAATCCATACTATGACCCTTTTACTTTTCTCATATATCTCCTTCATGTACTTTTCACATCTTCTGACATATCACTCTCCTGTCTTCTTCTACGATATATTATTTTATGCTAAACAATTTAGTAGGTAATTACCATCCTTTTTATGCAGTGAAATACGGCATAAGATAAATTAAGTAAACCAACTCTGGAGTGTTCTTAATAAACAGTAACGTGCTGTGAGTTGACATCAGACTTATATAGGGTTTTCGGCTAAACCATGGGTAGGCAGCACTCCAGATGTTGTGGGTATCATTATGGCAGTAAGAGTATTATGGCAGATGTAGTCCATAACATCCGGCGTGCTGAAGGTTGCCTACCCCTGCAGTAAATTATGAAGTGTTATTGTGACAGGAACAGGGTGGCTGGTCCCTGACTTTGGATCCAGACCTGAACCTTCCAAATACTACTATGGTCCTCCTGGAGCTACTGCAGCAACTGGGTACCTTATGGCTAGTTGCCCAGCAGCTCGAGCTTCTTCACTGATATCATCCAACCATCAGCCAGATACTGGATAACTAAGACAGTAGCAGTTTATTAAACAGGCAGTGTATTTATACAGTATGAGATGTTACTTAAAGGGTAGTACTAGCTTCAGAACCTCTATAAAGCTCTGGGACTTTTACCGCTCTGTTCCAAGAGGCTCTTCGGGAAAAGGTCCACTCATTGTTGGCCACACTTTCCATGGTTTCCTGGTCAGAGAACCATGGAATGGAGAACTGTATTTTAGACTGTAAGACAGGCACACAAGTAACTCTTAAAACTCTCCTTTGCACCAGTCCCACATAATGTTTGCCCTTCGTTGTCCACATTGGTTTGTGCACCACAGAGTTAACCCTTCAGGTGTCAGTAGGTGGTTTTTACTGTGTCCTTTATAATTAACCTATTAAATATATCTGTTACATGCCCAGAAGATTGTTCTGGCTTTAAGGGTTGGATGGTGATTTCCATCACAAGGTGTCCATAGTTTCTGGGTAGGAGGCTAGCCACCAAGCCTTTCTTCAAGGCTCATCTAGGATTATTTTTTTAACCAAAATAGCTCAGATAGAGAATTTTTCCAAATCTGCTCTTTTTTGGTGTAATATTTGCAGTTGCAGTTGCCTTGCTGGCTGTAATAAAGGAAGTGGATAAATCTGGTTGTAAACATTTTGATCTATACTTGACAAGTGACTACAGTTTCCGGTTTAGAGAATAAACTGTTCTTGTGATCTGATTTACTAATTGAGTAAACAGGAATTGTGTAGAATTGATAAGAGGAATGCAAACTAGTTAAAAAGTAGTTTAGAGAAAATATAACTGTTTGTTTGAAAATAAATAAATCCACCTGTGTTATTTTGGCAGGCAATTTTATAACATGACAGGAGGCTTCATATTTGCTTAAGTCTCTCTTTACTAGAACTCCACAGCAGCACATTGGGGTCGAAGAACTAGGTAGATGCTGAAATCCAGGCCCTTTTCGAAAAGGGCACAGTCCAGTGGGCACCAGACGATGGAGGTTTCTTCGGTTCCATATTCCTGGTGAGGAAGAACTTCCGCCTGATAATAAATTTGAGGAACCTGAATGCCTTCACCATTTGCCGACATTTCAAAATGGAGGGCATCAATCTGCTGCGGGACCCTGCCCCAGGGATTGGTTCACGTGACTAGACCTGAAGGACGCCTATCTATCTGTACCGGTGGACTTTACGTGCCGATTTCTCAGATTTCTCTGGAAGGGCAGACCTTGCCAGTACACCTGCCTACCCCTCAGCTTAGCGCCGTAGTGTTTCACCAAACTGTTAAAACCTGTGACGACACGTCTTCAATCCAGGGGTGTTCGTTGTCTCATCTACCTGGATGATCTACTGATATTTTGAGAGGAGCCCTCCAGACTGAATTATCAGACGCTTGCTGCGATCTACTTGTTCGAGTCACTGGGTTTCGTGGTCAACCGGGAAAAATCAGCCATCACACCAACAAAGGTGATCGACTTCTTGGGTTTCGAAACAGACGCAACGGAGTACCCCCTAAGCTTTCCTCAGTCCAAGATCTCCACCAATCTGAAGGAAATCTGGAGGATTCTGCATCAGAACCGGATCCCACTACAAATGCTGGCTCGCGTAGTGGGTCTCCTCTCCGCATCGATCCAGGCGATCTATCCGGGACCCCTTCACTAAAGGGCCTTGCAACGCCTGAAGGCCCGCTTCCTATGCAGGAGGCCCTCCTACGACCAAGTGATCTCTCTCGTACCGGATGTAAAGATCGAGCTTTGCTGGTGGCTGCCTCACATGTCAGCCTGGAATGGCAAAGCGATTTTTCAGACCGACCCACGATTTCATACTAGAGCTGGGGTTCGGGAGCTACTTGTACGACCAGCTCCACGGGAGGCCCCTGATCAGAGATGGAGACAGAGTACCACATAAATTGCCTGGAACTGATTGCGGGATCACCGCTATTGGATACTTTCGGAGGTAACGATGGAGATTTAAAGCTTCTGCTTCCAACGCAACATCACTCTCAAGGCGGAGAGTGTCCTGGGAGTGTCGAACCTGACAGCAGGCTGGTTCTCCAGACATTGGAGGGACGCCAGCAATTGGAGGCTCCATCATTCGGTTTTCCTCGAGATCGCGGACTAGAGGGGCCCATTCACAGTGGATCTCTTCGCCTCCAGGACGAACTTCCAGGTCCCAACGTACTTCAGTTGGCTTCCAGACCCGGCTTGCACGGAGGTGGATGCTTTTCTTTAGAAATGGCCTCAGGGAGCTTATGCGTTTTCTCTGTTTGCTATGATCTCCAGAGTCCTGCTACAAGTACGACGTCAATGTGTATCATTAGTGTTACTGACCCCCTATGGCAAGTTCAGGCTTGGTTTCTGGAACTTTTACAACAGGATCCTATCCTCTAGGACCCACAAGGCAACCCTCATCCCCTCGTGGTGGATGGCCACCTTCATTTAGTGGCCTGGACTCTTTCAGGCGAACCTGGAATGTCGACGACGTATCGCAGTCAGCTAAGAACCTCCTCTGGGACTCCTGAGCTCCTGGAACTAGGAGATGCTACTTGTTCGCATGGAACTCTTGGTGTCGTTGGTGCCTAGAACGGAATACCAATCCCTTTACAGCCCCTGTATCCAGTGTTTTGGACTTCCTCTCTCACCTGTCTGACTTGAGTCGGTCGTATTGTTAGGTTAACATAGCCAGGTCTGCGATCTCTGCGGCTCATGTGCCTCTCCGAGGTTCCCCCATTGGTCAAGACCCGTTGGTTTGCCGACTTCTCTTAGACTAACACGTCCTACAACAGGAAGTACTCCTCCCTCTGGGATGCACACACGGTCTTATCGTTCCTCCAGGATTGGCCGGATAATCAAGATCTGTCCCACCAACAGCTTTTGGTTAAATTCACTCTTCTACTATGCCTCATGTCCTTTCGCCGGATCTCCCATGTCCGGGCATTCAATGTCGACGCACTCTCTTTTTCTCCTGGAAGGGGTTACCTTCTTTGTGTCTAGACGGACCAAGTCGGACTTGACGGCTATCTTCTACCCATATTTCCGCGACTCACCTAAACTCTGCATGGTGGCAGCTCTATCACGATATGTGGTGATTACAACTCTGCCTCGCCCTTCCCGTTCAGGGCAATTACTGGTTCGGGTAAGAACTCTGTTGATTTCAGTAGTGTCTGAATTACTCTGGGTGGCTGCATGTTTTTTCGAAGGACATTTAATTAGTTAACCAATTCTTTCAATTCTGTTTATCTTGTTTCAGTTTAAAGTTTCATCTACGGTTCCATGTTCAAGTTTTTCTTCTGGATGGCTGTCATTGGTTGGATCCGTTTTCTACAGTTTCTACAGTTACAGTTATATTTCTTTGTTTGTACTATTCTTTGTTTTTGTCGCAGCTTGAAAGAGGAAGTAGTTGTACTTTACTGTTTTCTGATTGGTTGTTTTCTCTCTGTGTTAATGTGCTGCTGTGTAGTTCTAGTAAAGAGAGACTTAAAGGACCACTCTAGGCACCCAGACCACTTCAGCTTAATGAAGTGGTCTGGGTGCCTGGTCCTTCTAGGGTTAACCCATTTTTTAATAAACATAGCAGTTTCAGAGAAACTGCTATGTTTATTAATAGGTTAAGCCTTCCCCCATTCCTCTAGTGGCTGTCTCATTGACAGCCACTAGAGGCGCTTGCGTGCTTCTCACTGTGATTTTCACAGTGAGAGCACGCCAGCGTCCATAGGAAAGCATTGTAAATGCTTTCCTATGAGACCGGCTGAATGCGCGCGCAGCCAGCCGGCGGGGCGTAACGGAGGAGGATCGGAGGCAGAGAGCTCTCCGCCCAGCGCTGGAAAAAGATAAGTTTAAACCCCTTTCCCCCTTCCAGAGCCGGGCGGGAGGGGGTCCCTGAGGGTGGGGACACCCTCAGGGCACTATAGTGCCAGGAAAACGAGTATGTTTTCCTGGCACTATAGTGGTCCTTTAAGCAAATATTCGCCTCTTGTCATTAATAGAATTAAGATTATAGGTACTCTAAAGCTAGCATAACCTACAATTTACAGTTATTTTAGCAATTTTGTACCATTTCCCATTTAGTGAATAAACTATATTTACTTAAAGGACAAGTGCCACCTCAAATCCATTTTAACATAATTATCCTTTCATTATGTTTTGAAAGGAAATTGATTTAAAAAAAAATCTTATTACCAGAAATTTGCTAGGGAATTCTATATTTTACTCCAAATTACATCACAATCTAGCAGAGTCAAGGCACATACATTGCCCTGGAGAAGGGGAAACGGAAACATTGTTTAAGTTTTAATGAAGCTTTTAAAGCTGCCGTAACTGCTGTTGTGTTTAAACATATTGTCCTTGCCTTATTATGTTTATTTTATTGTTTTTTAGGATGCATCAAGTGAAGGAATATGTGTGGATCAGAAGACATGCAAAGCTGGTATTGTGCTGAAAAAGAAGGATTTAGACAATACACAGGTCATGCCCATGAGTTCCAGGAATCATGTAATGACTAAAAGCAGGCACCAGAAAAGGCAGGTTCAATATCACAAGCTAATCCCAATGCTTCCTACCAAAACAAGAAGTCAGGGGCCAATGCACTACCAGGAGAGAAACCCAAGAACAAACTGAGCACTTGGAGTCTCATACACACACAGAATGGGCAAGCCACGGTCAGAGTCACACACAGAATCGACAAACCATAGTCAGACTCACACACACACACACACACACACACAAAATGGACAAGCCATGGTCAGAGTCACACACAGAGCCAATCCACTGTCAGAGTCACACACACAGACACAAGCCATGGTCAGAGTCACACATAGACACAAGCCATGGTCAGAGTCACACATAGACACAAGCCATGGTCAGAGTCACACATAGACACAAGCCATGGTCAGAGTCACACATAGACACAAGCCATGGCAAGAGTCACACACACAGACACAAGCCATGGTCAGAGTCACACATAGACACAAGCCATGGTCAGAGTCACACACACAGACACAAGCCATGGTCAGAGTCACACATAGACACAAGCCATGGCAAGAGTCACACACACAGACACAAGCCATGGTCAGAGTCACACACAGACACAAGCCATGGTCAGAGTCACACATAGACACAAGCCATGGTCAGAGTCACACATAGACACAAGCCATGCTCAGAGTCAGACAGACATAGAGACAAATTCCATATTTAGAGTCAGAGAGACAGACAAAGATACAGGCCATATTCAGAGTCAGACAGACAAAGAGAGGCAATCCATATTCAGAGTCACACAGACAAAGAGACCAGCCATGCTCAGAGTCAGACAGACATAGAGAGGAAATCCATATTCAGAGTCAGACAGACAGACGGACAGACAAAGAGACAAGCCATGCTCAGAGTCAGACAGACAACCAGAGGAAATCCATATTCAGAGTCTCGGACAATTGTTTCAGCCTCCTTAAGGCCTCATGAGCGAGGAGTAGCGGATACCCCTCTAGGCACAGTGAGCACATGGTCCATGTCTGGATTACCGTTTTGGGGAGAGCATATGCAATTGCAGTTGAACAAAAACAGAGAATTTGAGAACTCTGAAAACTGGCAAAACCTTAGAGAACCTTAGTAGCTTGCCCTTCAGTTCGTCTCAAAATGTATTTGTTCACTTGCGCCATTGCAAAGGAAACTTATACCATTTGCATATCAGACTGATCCCACCCATAAGGACAGTCCAGAACCGAAATGCTGGCAAGTTACATTAAGGAATGTAAAACTTGCTTCCTCTATGCTTTGTAAATGCAATCCTTGGCATAGATTTTTTGTTTTTCATTTTCAGAGTCTGTACAGTGTGAATGCACTGGAAGCTGTGACATCTAGTACATGTGAGGTGTAACATTGCAATGCACACGTGTATCAGGGAGGAACCATGCGCGTTCTATTACAAACACCCACAACCTGCGCAGGATATGAAGAATTCAGGTCACAGTCAATAATTATTATACACTGAAGGCTGGAGTTCCAAAGCCCTTACAGTCTCAGCAGGCAATCAATCACCGTATGAATTATCTGGCAGTGTGGAGAAAATGACAATAAATCTTTTTTACCTCTCTCGCACCACAGATATAATAAAACACATATAACTCACAGCTGTATAGGGATATCCTTCAGGGGTTCAGTAAAGGAAAGGTAGTTTGTGCTACCCCTGGATCAGAATATTAATGGTGGGTTAACGTCCCATGGCTTGGGCTGCCTCCTCTCTCTGACAGCTGCTACAGGAAGGCTCCCTTCCTTGTGGTAAAGAAAATAATATTTTCAGTATGTTTCCGTTGCAAAAAACAAAAATGGTGCACACCTCTGTCTTTTTTTTGTTTCTCTGTAGCTGCATGTCTTTAGATTTAACTAGTAAATAAACATGGCTGGCATGTCTTTTTATTGCACATTGTATTGCATACATTTATAGATCTATTATACATGGTAGCCATTAATTGTATCCTCTATGTAGTGCATTTAACGTTACAGATTCAGCTTCTTTTTTTTTTCTCCTACAGGTGTAGTGCATTTCGCCAGCGTAAACGCCCCACGTGTTTGGCAAACAAACACACAGCGGGTACATGTCCCTTCTCTTCAGCTTCTCGTCAGATGATCAATGCCAGATCTGAGCGAGGTGACCACTACAAGAAAAGCGCTTCTTCAGAGTCAGGTAATGAGTGAACTCTCGCTGCACATATTAGAGGGGTCTGGCCGATATTTACAAGCTGTGTCTTAATTTGGGGGCAATAAGCTTTATAGAAAACCTATGGTATGGTGAGAGTTCTAAGTACGTAAAGGACAGCAGGTCGGCAGTAAGCTGTGTATCCTGCCTGACCCACAAAGCGGTAATATGAATAGAGTAGCCCTCGGCATTTAAATTATCATGAAATTACTTTACCACTAGTTATAATAGGATGCAGAATGTTCACATTCAGCGTTCCCCTGCATTATCATTACCTTCAAGAATCGCTTTATGAGAGTTATAGAGTTATAGACTGTTCTGCTCGGTATTTTTATTGGTGTCAATGAAAAAAAACACCATTTGATTAATAACGCAGAATCAATTAATTGCTCACAGTAACAGTGTTACATAAAAATGTATTTTTTTAACAAAAAAAGTAACTGTCTGCGCAGAAGAAATATGTTGAATAATACCGGTCTACTTACTGTGTTTCCCATCTGTTATGGAAACCAGGGAATGGGTCCCCGGGAGGTGGCAGCTTATGAGTTCGATAAGCAGTAACAGATTTTAGACTCGGGAATGGTTCCCATTATTAGATCAGGTTAGGAATACTTTCTGGAGGAATAATTCCTCGGGCCAACAAACTTTTCTTCGCTTCCGAAACAAAAACAAGTTCCCTGTTGTTTTCTAATAATCCGTCTCTCCAAGAGAGCAGGATTTACAGACATTAAACCCATCCTCTCCATGATCACTGCCACCTGACTGCGCTGACTGAACAAAGACTAAGTAGGCCATGCCATCACCCATCCAACTGGCATGGACTTAGCATATAGCGGTGATACGGCACTAGGCTGGGTAATGAAATGGAAAAATCTCTCATTCTTTCTCTCTCTCTCTCCTTCTCTCCTCTATATCTCCTTCTTTCTTTCCCTCTCTCCTTCTCTCTATATCTCCTTCTTTCTCTCCCTCCTTTCCCTTACTTATTCTCTTTATCTCTTCACTATACTCCCTTCTTTATCCTCTGTTTCTCTCCTCCTTTCTTACTCTCTCATTCTGTCCATGACACTAACTCTTGCTTTCTCCCTCCCTCCGATATCTCTCCTTTTCTCTTACTGCCATTCTCCCTCTCGTTCTTTCTATCAGCCTCTAACTATACTGTTTAGTGAACAGTGAACAACTCTAACAGATAATGTAAAATGTTTCCTCAGCAGATTAATTGCAGGCTTTACTTTGACAATGTAATTAAATGCGTGCTGGACTTGGCAGCGTCTCCACAATAAATAGGGTGTCTGCTTTTAGTTATTGAGACATTTAAGCTGTGGTGTCACTGTTAGCTCTCACTTAAACAACTTCATCATACGAGATGAAAACAGAAACAATTTCACGCACCTGCAACACGCATTCATATTCCCCGTAACCTCTTCTTTTCTGGGTCATTCATACATATATACGTCTAACTTTATGGAGGAAGTTATAAAACTATCTCTTCCCCTTGGAACGAAACATGTGCTATAAATTACTCGTTAGTAATTAGGTCAAGGCGCAGAGACTTACCATGTAAGTACATCTATCAAATAGGCAAGGATGCGCTGCATTTAAAAAGAAACTTATATTCTCTTTATATGTAGAGTTAGTCATTTTACGTGTGCAGCCAACAAAATGTATGTGTATTTAAATATCACACAAAAAAAATGGTGCACAACTTTATAAAGAAATATTAATTATTTTATATTTAAGATCATTTAAGTTTCTCATCATTTTTATGTGATTTTATTTGTACAAGATATATTTTGCTTTTACTGTTTGGTTGCTGCAATTAACACATTATTTCCTATATATATATATTTTTATATATATATGTCATTTTATTTTTATTTTACACATATACATATACTTAATTGGAATACTGTTCTTTGCACCATTGGTATATTTTGTGGGGAGTTTGATATTCATGTAAAACTGCACCTTAGAGGGATATACTTATACCCTATACTTCGCCTATTTAATGTGCTTATATTAAGAAATATTTTTTTTAATATCGGTGTATTTAAATATGCAGAGTATGCTTAAATATCTTGGTTTTGTCGGTTGAGTTGCCTTCTGGAAGCTAACATATTTGCGGATAGATTTGAAATGTTCACTTAAATTATTATTTATTATCATTAACTGAATGAAGTATACATGAGAGCTGAACTAATATCCTATAAACCTCTGCTTCAATGATTATACGTAGGGTGTTACCGTAGAAAATATTGGTAGGACCACAATCTGCTGAGAAATGTCTTTTCAGAAATGGTGGTGTTTTATTTCTGAGAGTTGGATACTCAGCGGTTGGTCTTGTGAGGATATATGGGTTTCAGACTCCGGTTTAATAGAGTCAAAGTGGAGTCTAACACAATATTATTTTTTCAAGGAAGAGTTAGAAATCAAGTTAGCTTCGGCTCTTGTCTCTCTAAATCTAGCAAACCATTTCAGGGCTGAGAGAGTCCATTGCACAGAGAAGGGTGCCCTCGGCTTCCCTCTCGCTGAATCCGGTGAAGCCTTTCCGGACTGTGAGATTGAGAGGTCTGGACTTCTCTGTCTTTAAATCTTGAGAACCCTTTCAGGGCTGTGTGAAAGTCCACTGCACAGGGTTCCAGGCCCCATGTCTCTCCACATGTAGTGAACCCTCTTAGGACAGGTAGACCTCCATATATCCCAGGGATGACTTAGCCTGTTTATTGACCTGGTAGCAGCTTGCTGACCGGAGGATGCTGGCTGGGTAAATACAACCCATCCCACAAGGATACACATACCCCTGATCACTTACTGCACTCTCCATACAGCAAGGTGCAAGCTGTACAGTATCTGTGTGCATTCCCCTATCTCTCTCTGTGCTGCCGGACAGGTGCAAAGGCTAGAGCTTATAACGGTGATTGACAGGGAGCTAAAATGCAGGAAACCCCGGATAGAGGTAAATAAAGCCATTTTGATTTCTGCAATTACTTTTCTTTTTCAGACCTCATAAGCACACATTGCTTGTATACCCTCTCTGTCTGTGCGACCAGTTTAGATGGATTTTATTTTATAGATAAATTGTACGTGGAACCTGCCTGCTGAGGAATGAGGATTGATGGAGAGGTGGGGTTGACAAGGCATGCAGCGCATGGAATTTTCTGGATTAGGATTGTGTGAGGGGAGGGTTACAGTGACCCACTGTGCATGGAATCTACCGCTGTCTCTCAGTCAGTTTTATGGCTCCTTTGACTGCAAGAGGGAGATATTCTCATGTTTTAGCCATTGAGCCTCCGTGGGGAAATGAGCTATGTTTCAGTAAAGGAATGTCTCAATTGCTGCGGAATTTTCACACAACTCCTCTTTTATTGCGTGCGTTCAGTGGATGAAGTGTGATGGGTCTGAACGATTCTCATAAGACAGGTCACTGACATTTCAGCTGCTAAACCAGAAACATACAAATTCCATTTGTTAAACAGAAACATGACAGGGAGCGCACTTACCGGAACAAATCTTTTTGTCATAATTAAAGTTGAATTCAAAATAAGAAATGCAACACATTTGACAGCAATTTACGTGCATAGAGTAAAATAGTCATTCAAACTGCGGCACATTTCCTCTCTCCTCCCTGTTCTGTACCTCATATTTAAATTTTCAGAGCTCCCTGTAGATTGCAAGCTCGGGAGCCAAACCTACTTCTGACGAGAGGTGGTCCCAGAGGATGTTTTAGGTGAATATTGGAATGGGTGTCACTCAGTTCCCTGACCACTAGTCATCTGAGGATACCTGGGTGTTGGGGTCACTATATTCCTCAGGATTCTGCAGGGACTCTGTCAGATCGGAGGATTGCTGCATTAGCATTATACACATCCCGAGCCTTCTTCAATTCCTTTACTGTGTTAGCCTTATACACATCCCGAGCCTTCTTCAATTCCTTTACTGCGTTAGCCTTATACACACCCCGTGCCTTCTTCAATTCCTTTACTGTGTTAGCCTTATACACATCCTGAGCATTCTTCAATTCCTTTACTGTGTTAGCCTTATACACATCCTGAACATTCTTCAATTCCTTTACTGTGTTAGCCTTATACACATACTGAACATTCTTCAATTCCTTTACTGTGTTAGCCTTATACACATCCCGAGCATCCTTCAATTCCTTTACTGTGTTAGCCTTATACACATCCCGAACATTCTTCAATTCCTTTACTGTGTTAGCCTTATACACATCCCGAGCATTCTTCAACTCCTTTACCGTGTTAGCCTTATACACATCCTGAGCATTCTTCAATTCCTTTACTGTGTTAGCCTTATACACATCCTGAACATTCTTCAATTCCTTTACTGCGTTGGCCTTATACACATCCTGAGCATTCTTCAATTCCTTTACTGTGTTAGCCTTATACACATCCTGAGCATTCTTCAATTCCATTACTGTGTTAGCCTTATACACATCCTGAGCATTCTTCAATTCCTTTACTGTGTTAGCCTTATACACATCCTGAGCATTCTTCAATTCCTTTACTGCGTTGGCCTTATACACATCCTGAGCATTCTTCAATTCCTTTACTGTGTTAGCCTTATACACATCCTGAGCATTCTTCAATTCCATTACTGCGTTAGCCTTATACACATCCTGAGCATTCTTCAATTCCTTTACTGTGTCAGCCTTATACACATCCTGAGCACTCTTCAATTCCTTTACTGTGTAAGCCTTATACACATCCTGAGCATTCTTCAATTCCTTTACTGTGTTAGCCTTATACACATCCTGAGCATTCTTCAATTCCTTTACTGTGTCAGCCTTTTACACATCCTGAGCATTCTTCAATTCCTTTACTGCATAAGCCTTGTGACGAGACCAATCTCGCCACTGTGCATTGGAGGAGCCTGGTTGCCCAGCTGCTGCCTTAAGACTATGGCCCCATGTTGAAACGCTTGATTTTTCCCTGCAGAGACACGAAAGCCGGGTCATTCGGTGCTGGCCCTGTTTGAGCGGTTATACCCCAGATAGCTATGCCATTCGTATAATGAAAGACTATGGGAAAGACTTTGGCTCCATGGCGATTGAACTGTATGTGCGTGCTCTGAGCGCCATTCAGTAATAATGTGCGCTCAGATCTGAGCTATCTGGGGATATGTTGAATGTACCTGTTTTATGCAATAGCTGCACAGTTATATATTTTTATGTGTTTTATTGTATTTTGCTGCCATGTGTTCAATGGAGTTTTGCCTCTGTCCTTGGAGATAATTGGATTACTTCACAATTATCTCCAGGATAGAAGACTCTGTGTAACTGGTTTTGGGCAGAAAAGCCATGCTTCATTTGGTCACAAAGGACTTCGATCTATCTTTTGAACCACTGGACCAATTTGGATGATTTTGACGAATGTTTGTATTTGGAGTATGCTGATTCTGAAAATGTTTTATGTGAATGTGATGCATACTTTTCAAGTTATGAATAATGCGGAAAAACTGTATTTCTCTGGCTGTTATAATTACATTACCCATTGTGTAAGGTAATTGTATCACAGGCAGAGGGGAGGGTTTTGTGTGGGAGTGTCTGAGTGTATTGTACATGTTTATTGGTTGTTTTCCAAAACCCTGAGGGTGGTACTAATGTTTAAGAATGTGTACATAACAATAAACCCACAGGGAGCTTTGTCTCGTTCTTGGGGGGGATTTATTGTATGCTGTTCCAGTTCGACTGCTAGGAGTGTAAACCTTTCGTATGGTTTTTTCCTATTCGGCTGTTTACAGCATTCATATGGTTCCGGTTCAGCTGTTTACAGCATTCAAATGCTTCTCCGGTTCGGTGGATTGGTGTCTATAGTAGCTGTGTCTGTGTCTCTGGAAGGGGAAGATCTTCTAAACGGCGGTTTAACCCTTTTATGCTTAGGGTGCCGTTACAAGCCTCAATAAGTGTATAAGGCTAATACAGAAAAGGAACTGAAGAATGTTCAGGATGTTTTCAGGATTTTGCTAACACTTGACATGTGCACAGTCGTTATTCGGCATGTGCCATAACTCACACCCCACTTCCTTTAATAAAACACAGACACCAGCTTTTCTGTTGGAAGTATATAGTCCACAGCTTTATTTAATTATCATTATAAATGTAACAAATTGGGGTCATTGCCAAATAATATTGATATTTTAATACAATCTCCCTCCGTACATAAATACACCTGGCAATGACCCCATACCATTAAAACAATATATAACAATATAAATAACATATAAGATAAAACACGGCCTACTAACGAGGCCCATATCCAACTTTTTAAACTGTAGGGGTGTACCGAGACACCCCTACACCCCCAGATTCGGAGCCACAGATGAGCTCGAACATACAAACCAATTGGAACACTCCTGCCTAATCCAGTCTAAATCTTGCCATGACCACTTCATACTCCACCTACTTCCCATTTAACCTAGCCCTTCCCCCGCCGCTGTGACCAAAAAACAACCTCTAAACCTCAGGGAGGGTGAGGGGGACAACTAACAGGTAAGTGAAGGCTTTGATTAAAATGGCCACTTGCTAAGATGGCCGCTGTAGCAGCACCCCGATAGACTGAGGGGTTTTTGCCGCCAAGAGATGTCCTTTCTCCCCTGTTGTGAGAGGGAGGCTGTAGAGTGGAGCAGGAACAGCTCTTAGAAGAGCTAGTGATTATAGTACTTCAAAGAGCAATCCCAGGAGCAGGGATTGCAGCAGGTATAACTTTACCCTACAAGCACGAGATGAGGCTCTGTGTTGAAGGTAAATCAGGAAGGTTTAATGTGGCACACTGGCCTTTTATACAGTTTTCCCCACAAGGTTACCACCCAGGTCGACCTTGTTGGCCACAGGGACACAGGATCAACAAGCCAATAAAAACAGTATTTTACATTCAGTCACTCCCATACAGTGTACACAACTTAGTTAATTACTGTATCAACTCAATTATCTCCAAACGAAAAATAGAACTATTTTACACTTTTTTAGAAATACCCCAACAAAACAGACATTTCCTGATAGCCCCGATCTGGGGGAACAACATATTCAAAAATCACCCAGATCGGTTCAGGGATTCAAAAGTTAGCTGGAGGTCACATTTCTGCCCAGCCGCCCATGAGGCTTATTGCCCAGAATAGTTCCATAAGTTCAGCTGGGTCGACCGGTCTATTTCAGGGGTAGGGAAACACATTAAAATAACGAAATGACTGTTCGTGTATCTGATTCTCCAGTGTCTCTTGTTCGTGTGCTTCAATGTACCGAACGCCACTGCGTTCGTATGAAAAGTAAACGAATTGCAGCGGTGTTTGTGTGAGCGAGTATCTGAAAACCGTTCCATGCGCTCAACGACAAAACACTGCTGGCCGTTCGACTGTTTAAGATGTCCGCCGCCATGTGTTCGTGCATACGAACGACGACCACCCAGCCGTTTGTCAATTAAGCTGCGGTTAACCACCGCTTCTGGGAGGTTAATGAGCAGCACACTCCACTTGCAGGGTGGTCGGTAATTAGTTCGGTTATTTGAACAGAGTCATACTGTGTATAGGAGATGTTAAATTCACCGAACAAACCACAAACACATAATGTATAAACACATAAATATAAAATCCAGGCAAATAATGAGAAATATAAAATTCAGGGACAGAGAGGTCTGTCACAGTCACTCTATATCCCCTTAGTCTCCACCCCTATAACCAAATTACTAAACTCCAGCCCATAATTATATTAACCCTACATGCCTACTCTCTGGACCTGTCAAGGCCCATTCCCCTATCTGCGCTGTTCCATGGGCTATAAATGCACTAAAGGAACTTTCAATTCCTTTTGTGTGTCAGCCTACTACACCTTTATGTGGTACATATAATAGCACTAAAAGATGATTCTATGTATCTTCTACCAGTTCATATCACTATTGACCTTTATTGCTATACTGGAAAGCTATTTCAAGTATCTTCTAAGCTTTCTACACCACTGCTTTTACCACTTCACTTCATCTAGGCGTTTTTCTACCCTGTCTAAATAAGAATAAACCTATACATCTTATAATGCTCTTGCTGTAGTATTTTTTCCGTAATATAAATAGTGACATTATAAAAGCCTGGATTATAGCAAACTTGTAGATTTACTAAGGTAATTATTTTTAGAAGAGGTCCTTCATTATGTATGCTACCTGACAGCCAGTTATTTGCAGTCTAAATGGGCCCAGTCCTTAACCCTTCCATTTGCTGATCGATATTCTTATTAAATATCAAGGACTTCCGACAAAATTACATCGGTGTAGGCTATAAGGAGCTATCAGACCTTCTCATTTGAGACCACTACTAAACCACTACTAAACTTATACCAGGACTTACTCACGTCTACAGTGCCAGTCCCTCCATTCACTTATTCATCAGTTATGGTAGATGGGAATAATCTACAAATGGGATCTACAGCATTCTCTCATTAAAATAAACAAATGGCACTTTCTGTTGAACGTTGCAGAAGTCTCTACCTTCTTACAAGATTTGGGATTTAAGCATCCACACAAAGAATCCCCTTCTGAACCATGGGTTTCTCTTTTTCATGGATTTCCTGATTACATTATAAATTGTGACGAACTAAGCCTCATCACGTGTTCTTGGAGGGGCATGCTGGCCAGCCTCTTACCAAAAGACTATGGGCCCTTAAAAAAACAAAAAACACTATGTGAACACACTTGGTTTGTGGGATTTTATATTTGGTTTGGGAACCGAACAGCTGCATGAACCGGAGACTACCCTGGAGCTTGTTAAGCCTAATTGCTACTTTGTAGCAATTTCCACTGCAGTGTTCTAAGAGTTCGTCTGGGTGGCCACAATTCCTATGGATGACCATGAGGGGGTGGCCATCTTGTTCCCGCGAATGCAGGCAGCGGTGTTTGGGCATAAGTCTCATGGAGCTGAAAATAGACACAGAAACTCCAGAACACCGCTGGACTTCCAGCATCGCCTGCGTTCAGTTCTACAACACTTAGAAAGGCGCTGTTCGGTGCAAAACGTTCCCATGAACAAGGTGAACAAGCTCAAGGATAAGACTATTGACTCTGTTCGGTAGTTTGTTTATTTTTTAAACTACCGGACTACTCCGACCGCAAGCCCTGATTCTCTGGAACTGTTTTGGGCATGGGACCATGCAGGCGGTCGGTCAAATTATGACTTCCAGGAAATTTCTGAACCCCTGAACTAATTTGGTTAATTTTTGGATATGTTGGTCACCCAGATCAAGGCTATCCGGGGATACAACTGCAGGGATTTTGTGTTTTAAGATATTTTGGGGGGTTTGTAAAAATGTATGTTTTCTGGGCCTGGAGATAATTAACTTTAATACAGTGCTGACTAAATTATCTCCCATGCATAGGGGAGGGATTTTCCTATTTTGAATGGGAGTGTCTTGGACCTGAGAGCCAATGTAATGGTGTATATGTTTTTACTATAGTCTACTCTCAGGTTCAGGTGCATTTATGGCCAGTTGTGGCTGCCATTAATTAGATTAATTTTACCCTTCATGAAGTCTAGGCTCATGTTTGGGGGATTAGAGAGCTATATTCACTCTGGGGATTCCTATAATCACTATACTCTCTTGGATCACAACGATTACTCTTGTAAGAGCAGCCTGCTTCGCTCTCTGGACTAGGAGAGGTCTACCCACTGGAAGCTGGATCCTGGTCTTGGGTCCAGGGTGGGTGGAGGACAGTGAGACCTCAACCAAGCTGTGGCGGTTTGTGGGGGTTATGGTGTCCAGTCCGGTACTTAAGGATTACTAGAAAGCAGCGATTGCTGGAGGTACCCGGTAGGTTTGCCAGGCGGCCCGTCAAATAACTATTCTTATTTCCTAAGAAGTCAGTAGAAGTATAGATCTGGGCGATGCAGTGGATCTCTACAATGTGAGCTTGTTTGAGTAGGGCCCTCAAGACCCTCTGTTCATGTGCCTCCAAGTTATCTGTTGATCCACCTATTTTACAACGTTGAAAAATTTGTTGGAGCTTTATAAATATAAATAATATGATCTTCTTGGATTTTGCTAAGGCATTTAATACAGTTCCACTCAAAATGTTACTCTACAAATGAATGTTACTCTACAAATTAATGCATTTGGTTTAGATGAACATTTTTCTTGGGTTGCATACTGGCTTAAGATTTAGTACAGAGAGTCGTTACTAATGTAAGAATTTCAAGTTGGCAAAATGTAATATTTTGGGTCCCTCAGGGGTCACCTGTGGGTCTACATCTCTATAATCTGTTTATTAAAGGATCTATTTAGTGTCAGGAAAACAAACCATTTTCCTGACACTATGTCATCCTTGGGGGACGCTCAGCAGCTTACCTTAATCCAGCGATGGGCTCTCTCAGCGCTGGTAACCTCTTCTCCCCCGCCGATGTCAGCAGAATGCGCATGCGCGGCAAGAGCCGCGCGCGCATTCTAACAGTCCATAGGAAAGCATTTCTCAATGCTTTCTTATGGAGGTCGCAGAATCACCTCTAGCGGCTGTCAGGAAGACAGCCTCTAGAGGTTGGATTAACCCTGCTATGTAAACATAGCTGTTTCTCTGAAACTGCTATGTTTACATGTGAAGGGTTAAAACCTGAGGGACTTGGCACCCAGACCACTTCATCCAGACCACTTCATTAAGGCGAAGTGGTCTGGGTGACTATAGTGTCCCTTAAGGACCAAACTTCTGGAATAAAAGGGAATCGTGACATGTCACACATGTCATGTGTCCTTAAGGGGTTAATGATCTTACAATGGGTATTGAAAATCATGTGTTAATGTTTGGAGTTGACACAAAACTAGCTAAGGTATTAAAGTATGAGAAGGATATTATTTTGCTGTAGGGGAGTTGGCTAAGGTAGGGGCTGGGCACCCAATTACCACATGAGATTTTATTTAGATACATTTATTTACATAAAGTTATGCTTTTTGGCGTAACAAACACAAAAACAGTGTGGATGGTATTCTTTTTTACTATAGGCCTTGTTGACCCCTCTCCAAACATAGCGCTTATGGTTGTGACCATAACTCTTTATTTTGGTCTTGTCACTCCAAATTACAGTGTGCCAGAAGCTGTGAGGCATGACAATGGGTTGTCGGCATATTGTAACAGAGTTTTTTTGTGGAATTGGCGTAGTAAAGGCTTAATTCTGGCAACTCGACCATGCAGCTCATTTTTGTTCAAGTATTGTCATATTGTGCTCCTTAAAACAACCACACCGTCTTTTTCCAGAGCAGCCTGTATTACTCCGAAGGTTACCTTTGGGTTTTTCTATGTATCCCGAACAATTCTTCTGGCAGTTGTGGCTGAAATCTTTCTTGGTCTACCTGACCTTGGCTTGATATCAAGAGATCCCTGAATTCTCCACTTCTTAATAAGTGATTGAGCAGTACTGACTGGCATTTTCAAGGCATTGCATATCTTTTTAAATCCTTTTCCATCTTTATAAAGTTCCATTACCTTGTTACACAGGTCTTTTGACAGATCTTTTTGGCTCCCCATAGCACAGTATCTAGCCTGCTCAGTGCATCCACGTGAGAGCTAACAAACTCATTGCCTATTTATACTTCATATGATCACTATTCTTCAATAAATTTTTTTTTTTTTTTGCTTGATCCATCATATTCCCAAAATCAATGCCAACATTTTCTTGATTTATGCCAGGGTATACAAACTTTTGAGCACAACTGTTATTGTCTCTACTTTACCTATGATGTTTTATTGAAATCTTAATGCAGCCTCTAAAACACTGCATTAAGATTACTTGGTTCACCAGTAAAAAGGTAAGTTAAACACCCCCCCCCCCTTTCTTTTAATTTTATTTGGGATGGGCTAAAGATAAACACGGAGTAGAACACTATAGCTTTAGAAATACATATTTGTATTCTTAATGCTATAGTGTTCCTTTAATACTGCGAGTATACCGCAATGGATATCTGGCTCCCCTTACCTTGTAGAAGCAAAGAGTTAAAGACAGAAACATATTTTAGCAGTCAGTCGGATTAATTCTGATCTGTAAATGTCAGCAGATAATCCCAGCTGCAGAAAAATAAATTTAAATGCAGCTTTAAAAAAAATAATAAATAAATATATATATATATATATATATATATATATATATAAAAACAAATGATCTAATGCATACCATTAAGTAGCCGAATACGGAAACAAGATGAAAATGGGAGTTAATCTTGGCAAAGAGATTAAACGGGGTCTGGGGCATGGGTTTCTGGTCTGCAGATTCACACAGTATGCTGTGATTTGGGAATGATCGTAAGCACGAAGGGTCTGCTTATACCAGGCGATCTAGCAGTAAAATATAGAAACCAGACAGAGCACTGCAGGAGAGAGACAATGGAGGATATTAAATCCTCGCTGTCATACCGGGTCAGTGAGAATCACCCTACCAATCAGCCTGTTCCCTTGCTCTCACACGTAAAGAGGCGCTGCGGGCTTGTATGTGTACTGAGTAGGGTTTGTTATAATTAGTTATACTGCATGTGGGTTTTAAATAAACTGCTTTTTTAATTTTGTATTTTTTTGTATTTTTTTTTTTTTTTTGCTTTTCTTCACAAGTTAATTCCATTTTCTTGCTCCAAGAATACAGGGTTATGTCATTAGTCTGACAGAAAAGTAAATGCTATTGCAGTGTTTACTGGAGTGACTGAAACAGCGAAGGTAAAAAATATACTTACCTCTAGTGCACTTTTCCCCCAAGGTTGCCATACCGAGGTATGCATACGTCACTGCATGCAGGGCCCTTTAAGAGCCCATTGGGCCTGGTGCTGACAATTATGATGGGCCTAATTACAGAATCTTATTGAGAGAAAACAGTTCCACCTCCCAAGTTTCATGTATCTGGTGGAGGTGGTGCTGGAGGGAAACTCACAGTATATATCCCATTGTACAGCACTATGAAATCTGATGGCGCTATATAAATAATCAAATAATAATAATAATATATAGCTATCAGAAAACAGATACCCTATGCTAATCTCTCGCTTTCATCATTCAATTAAATCCATTCCCCCTAACAGCAGTGTCCAGTGAAGCAGGATTTCGGTGGGCAAGGTAAAAGGGTTCACCACTGACGCAAGCCACGTAACCAGTAACCAGGTCAGAGGGAGCCTTGACAGAGGACTGAGTAGGGCTAGGCCATCAATTGTCAGGCAGAAAGCGTATTTATATCATGCAGGCATGGTTGATCATTAGTGGGAGGTTCCTGGGGGGGTGTAACTGGGAACATCAAGTGAGGGGCAGGCATCTAGCTATGCTCTTCCCAAATTGGTTTTTGGATGGGCACCTTCATATCTTGGCAAGCTAGGAGGTTTTTGGTTCATTGTCCATGTTAACGCACCTATTTATAGTTCCAGCTTTGGCGGGACAATGAATTTTAACTAGAAAAGCTACAATTTCTGGGGAAATTGTGTGAAGTGTTCTTGCCTCCACCAGTAGGCTACAACTGGAGTGGGTGAAGTAACTGTTATTATTTATATATATATAGCACATTTAATTGCAACGTTGTTGCCCAAAGTGCTTCACAGTTACATTAACCCCTTAAGGACTGAGCCAAATGTACATGTTGTGATCAAAACAAAACGTAAACAAAACCTGGAATTTGCGCTATATGTCTGTTCAGGCGTAATTCGCCTCTTTCATATTATGTGCACCCACACTTATTATATATCATTTTATTCAGGGGAAACAGGGCTTTCATTTAACATCAAATTTTAGGTATAAAACATAATTTAATATGAATAAAATATAAAAAAATGGGAGACAATAAGAATTTTTACAAAATATTTAGTTCTACGTGACATTCTAACTGTGAATGTCATAATACTGTTTGACTTTACTGCAATAAAATACACATATTTCTATTCAGCGATGTCTCATGTGTAAAACAGTACCCCCCATGTACAGGTTTTATGGTGTTTTGGGAAGTTACACGGTCAAATATAGCATGTTACATTTTTCAGTTTTTTCACACTGAAATTTGGCAGATTGGTTACGTTGCCTTTGAGACCGTATGGTAGCCCCGGAATGAGAACTACCCCCATGATGGCATACCATTTGCAAAAGTAGACAACCCAAGGTATTGCAAATGGGGTATGCCCAGTATTTGTTAGTAGCCACGTGGTCACAAACACTGGCCAAAATTAGTGTTAATATTTGAAATTGCAAAAAACTAATTTGAACGTCAATTTTGGCCAGTGTTTGTGACTAAGTGGCTATTAAAAAAGACTGGACATACCCCATTTGCAATACCTTGGGTTGTCTACTTTTGCAAATGGTATGCCATTATGAGGGTAATTCTCATTCCTGGGCTACCGTACGGTCTCAAAGGCAACGTAACCAAGCTGGCGAATTTCAATGTGAAAAAACTGAAATGCAAGCCTTATATTTGATTCTATACCTTTTGAAACCACCATAAAACCTGTACATGAGGGGTACTGTTATACTTAGGAGACTTCACTGAACACAAATATTAGTGTTTCAAAATGGTAAAACGTATCACAACTATTATATTGTCCGTGTAAGTGCCATTTGGGTGTGAAAAATGCAAGAAATGTCACTTTCACTGACAATATCGTCGTTGTAATACATGTTACTGTTTTGAAATACTTATATTTGTGTTCAGTACCCCCCATGTACAGGTTTTATGGTGTCTTGGAAAGTTACAGGGTTAAATATAGTGCTAGCAAATTAAATTCCCTGGACTTTTGGCCTGGGTTGTCAGGCTGGTCCTGCTAATTGTAATTAATAAAATTACCTAGTTATGTAAAATTATTACATAAATATATACGTAGAATTATTATATATATGTGTGTATATAAATATATATATATATATATATAAATATATATATATATGTGTGTATATAATTTTTTTAAATTATTTTTTATTTATATATAGGTATATATATAGTGATATATACGTATATACTTATGTATATAGATATATATATTATTTCTTTCTACATTTATTTTGATATCAATATATATATATATTAATTTTAAAATACAGTTAGAACGAATTTACACATATATATTTTTTATTTATTTATTTTTTAATTTTTTTACGTATTTACAGATTTATTTATTTTATATTATATATAAATATATATAATTAAAATGATATATATTTAATCAATATTGTACATGTATTTTGATATTAATATATATATAATTATGTATCTATTAATATTAAAATACACGTAGACAGTGTATGTGTATTTATGTGTATGTATGTATATGTGTGTATATATATATATATATATATATACTTAGATCATATATATAATAAATATATATATGATCTAAGTATATATAATGTTATTTTACACTGTTTTAACATTTAATTATTTTATTTTCAGACAGCAGAGGGAGTACCTGTCATTACAGGCACTCCCCCTGCTGGCAAAGCCTTGGACGGCTATGTTGTCCATGTGATCGTGAGGTCCTCGCAAGGACCTCGCGATCACATGGCGCAGGGGGGGCGAAGAGGAAGTAGGGGAACTCCCTGGGCTCCCAGGTGAGTCCCCATACCGCGATCGCCTGCCTGGGATCACCGGCGACCGGGTAAGTTCAAAGGACGGTTTGGCCGTTCTATGCCGCCCTGCGGCGTTTAGAGACGCTTCCTTAAGGGGTTAAAACATACATTTATAAAAACATTAGCAGGTGTTCAAAAGGCCCTGTCTATGACATCACTTGCTGCTCCAGCCTGGCACAGGTCAGTGGCGGATCCAGGGGGGGGCAACGGGGCAATTGCCCCCCCCCGAGAAATCCGCCGGTCTCCCTCTCCCTCCCCTGTCAGCACATGCAGGTGCTAGATCCTGAAATGTGTCTGCGGACCGGGGGGGAGATCAGAGATCTCCCTCCCCGGTCCACAGGCACTGTGCTGGCGGCCGGCAGGGGAGGGAGAGGGAGTGAGAGAGGACCCGGGAGCTGAGTCTGCAGCTCCTCCGGGTCCTCCTCTTGCGAGATTTGGAGCGTTGCCGCGGTTAGCTCACTCTCCCCAATGGACCACCAGGGATCGAAATATGTCCCCCCTCCTCCCCAGTAAAGGTAAGAAGGGAGGGGGGACATAGGATATTTATTTATTTTAATTAAATTAAAAAATATTATATTATTAAAAAAAAAAGCCACCCTACCCTGATCACACACATACATTGCCCCCAATACTGCCCCCCCTTCACACAAACTGCCCCCCCATTCACACAAAATACTGCCCCCTATAAACACAAACTGCCTCCCCACAAACTGCCCCCATTCACACAAACTGCCCCCCATTCCACAGGCCCCCATTCACACAACTGCCCCCCCCATTCACACAAACTGCCCCATTCCACACAAACTGCCCCCATTCACACACACACACTGCCCCCATACACACACACATACTGCCCCATACACACATACTGCCCCCATACACACACCCCCATACACACACTGCCCCCATACATATACTGCCCCCCATACACACATGCCCCCCCATACACACACACTGCCCCTATACACACACACTGCCCCATCATACACACACACTGCCCCCCCACATACACACACACTGCTCCCCCATACACACACACTGCCCCCATACACACACACATACTGTCCCCATACACACACTGCCCCCCATACACACACTGCCCCCCATACACACACACTGCCCCCACAGACAGACACTGCCCCCTATACACACACTGCCCGCCATACACACAAACTGCCCCCACATACACACACTGCTCCCCCATACACACATACTGCCCACCATACACACACACTGCAATACTCACACACACTGCAACTGTTACACACATACACTGCATCCCTGACATACACTGCCGCCCTCACTCACACACTACAACCTTCACACACACACACTGCACCCCTTACACATTGCACCACTCACACACCACTGCTCCTATGCCCTACTACAGCCCCATTTCCCAGCAGATCTCAGGTAAGTTGTCAAACTGTTCTTAAACGGTTTGACTACTTACTGTGGGAGGGGGTCCCGGCACTATTGACACCATAACCACTACACTGAGCTGTAGTGGTTATTGTGTCTGGATTATTTATTTAAATAATCTAATAGTGCCCCTCCCGAGATCAGGCTCTGGATCCGCCACTGGCACAGGTCAGAGTAGTTTGGCGGTTGCCATCTTCAAACGGTCGTATTTTAAATCCTACAGCAAAGAGCTTTATATTGTGAGAATCACAAGACCCAGACCTACATTTTGATGCATAGTATGTCTCTGAAGTATTAAAAATGAAGGCACAGTCGCAGTTTAGAAATTGCCCATCAAATTTGAGCTGGCTAGAGTGGAGTTTCAATGAATGTCAATGGACAGCGTGAGTTGCAAACAAATGGTCATATTGTGAAAAATATCAGAACTATGGCTTAGCCGTGGACATGTTTAGTGGCAGCAGGGATAGCTGAACGTTTTGATATAAGATTTGTGTAGGTGGGCTTGAAAATGAGGGAGTGGTGGCAGTTTAGAAATCATGTCCTGATTTTTCAGCTTCTGCCAGCTCCCACTCTAGTTTTGAACTGTAACGGACCGTTTTGCACACAAGAGGTTAAAAACCGTGTAGGCGATATTCCCCTTTTCAGATGCACAGACAGCTACTGCAATCACCAATCTCCCGAACTGCAAACACATGAATTCACCAATCTCCCGAACTGCAAACACATGAATTCACCAATCTCCCAAACTGCAAACAAATGAATTCACCAATCTCCCGAACTGGAACCAGGGGAATGCTCCAAACTCCCGAACAGGAAACACACGAATGCTGTAAACAGCCATACAGGAAAAACCATACGAACAGTTTACACTCCTGGCAGTCGCACTGTAACAGCATACAATCCAATTCCCCCAAAGAACGAGACGACACTTCGTTTGAGGGTCAAGTAGAACTTATTTACTGGGGCTACCTGCCCAGCATTTATGCAGGTCTCCCACTTGGTGGACACTCCCCTAGGGGACCAGATGGAAGACTGGGAAACATATTGGACATTGACCAGTCACAAGCTTACAATCCCACAATGCATCACATAGAACATACACATTCTACCTATCCCCAGATAGCTTAGATCTGAGCGCACATTATTACCGGATGGCGCTCAGATCACATACATACAGTTCAATCGCCATGTTGCCAAAGTCTTTCATACAGTCTTTCAGTATACGGCTGGGCTCCATGGCATAGCTATCTGGGGTAGCATGGTTTAAACAGTAAAGTACCGAATGGACCGTTGTTTGGATAATTGACTGCAGATAGGAGAAGGGAGGTCGGCGGCTCAGCGGTGTTCGTGACTTTAACAGTCCGCAGAAAGGCACGAACCAGCCTTTCTGCAGGGAAAAAGAACAGTGTTAAACATGGGGCCATAGTCCAGCAGCAGGAGGCGGGTGACCAGGCTCCTCCAGTGGCCAGTGGTGAGGTTGGTTCCGCCACATGAACATTTTGCCATTCATTCCTATGGGACCAACTTCACCACAAGAACGATGATATTCCGTGAACCATTCGGCGAAACGTTCCACAAAGTAATAGCAATCCAATCGGGAACAATCCGCATATTTTGGTATATTACTGTCTATGTAGTGTAAAAACTGTGGGAGGAGTTAGGGTGGTAAATTTGGCTATAATAAGAATAATATATGTGAGATAGCATTAAGTGGTCTTGCTATGCAAGAACACTTAATAAATTGTCTGTGCCTTTCGTACCCTATACTGTTGTTTTTTTAATTATAATGGCAAGCTTAGCCCGAACATCGAAGGTACAGCGGTCAAAGCATTTACACAGTGTGCAAAGTCAAGTTTACTTTAATTTATAGTCATCCAGTCCTCATGGGGTTCCTTCCCCTACATCCCTCCTAAGTTCCCATACTTATTTCCTTCTGCACAAAGTAAGAGCATGTGACGAGTAGTAAATGTTAATCTGACCCTGTCTGCAATGTGTCCTACAAAACATGTAAATTAAACTAAAAAGGAATGTATGATGAATTAAATATAAAATGTTTAGCAGAGCCAAAATTTGATTGTGCTCAAATGTGAGAAATGACCGGGCGGGCCACTTTAGGGATTACAATTATTGAGTCACCTCTTATTTTGGGCATAGATAATCCATATGTCCTCGTTCTATACAGTGTTTATAGGTGTGTTTCATTTAAAGGGTTACTGACACTTCCCTGTATTTTCTAATGTAATATTAGGTTTATTTATCACCTATATTTAAAAATATGTATAGTATTTGTGAGTTTTGAAAAATAAAATTTAAATGTAGAAATCCACACTTCTTTATCCTGCGCCTGGGTGTCTCCATCTCAGCTCCCTGGCAATAATTCGTATAAGCTCTGTGTTGTGCACCTGGCAGTCGGCACAGAGAGCATTGTCAGACACATTATGCCATGAAGTAGCATACAGAGAGGAGGGTACATCAAACAAAGCATCTGTTTCTGTACCTCATTTGCAATGTGTGCCATTTTAAGGTGTAAAATGCTAAATCTTTAATACACACACAAAAAAGAACATTTTTTTTTCTTTTTTTTTTTCACACCAGAATATAGTATTTTATTTAATTTCTTGTGTAGTCAAAAAAAAGAACATTTAATAAAAAAAAAAAAAAAAGGTTAACACAGCTTATTGGCAATTTGTTTATTGTTTTGTTTTATTCTGTGGTGTGAATTCCAGAGAAGTAGCAGTCCTCATTTAACAAGTATAGGTCAAGATTACTTTTGCACAGGCCTGACCAACATATGCACTTATATATCATGCCAACAATCAGACAGTGTGGGCTGACACTGTAACAGAGCTCCAGTACTCTGGCTGATTACCTCCGCCCAGTCCACTTTCTGCCTGCTTCAGTTCCTTTCCAAGGCGGGTATCCACACCTCTGCCTCCACAATGACCAGCTACTGCCCTTACAAAGGCACTTGCCGCTGTCAGGCCAAGCTCTTGTCCTAGGATCCAGGGACTAAGCAGTCAGCCACCAGGCCCGAAGACTCTGTTAGTGGGTGTGCAAACACCACTTTCCATAGATGTTTGACACTGACTCCTGAAGGAGTGTTGAAGCTGGCCTCCTGCCCACCGACTAAGGGCCAGGTCAGCGACTGTAAACACCAATATTCTATTCCCCCTGGTTCCTCTGGTTCGGCAGTTTCCATTCGTGCGCATTGAACCGAACGCTCGCTCTCTGGCAGCCTTTCGTATGGACCGAAACTGCGAATAGACTTCAGGTGGACTTAGCCGCTAATGCCTTGGAACTATTTTCGTCATGAAGTCTTTGCGGTTCCCAGTCGGTCCCCAGCGCCCTTTAGCCGCGATTTTATGCAACTATTTTGGGCATAGGACCATGCATGCAGTCGGTCAAATTATGACTTCCAGGAAAATCCTGAACCTCTGAACCGATCTGAGTAATTCTTGGATATGTTGGTCACCCAGATTGGGGCTATCAGGGGATGTAACATTTAGGGGGTTTTATGTATTTTTTTTTATAATTCTTTATTTTTCTTGTGCATACTTTTACAAACAGGCCTGTAGCGCCACGACAGCGAGTACAAGCTTTACATTGGTATACAATATCATGACGGAGTTGTCAGCACATTTAATTTTATAAAATATCACGCTTAGAGTACTAGTGTAACATTCATATATATTAATTAGACTATGCTTACACACATAAGTAGATTGTCGTTGCTTCGTTAGCGAGTTTACTGACTGTTTAAGCTAGCCTCAGTCACATTCTAGTGGCTGCAGTAAATGAGAATGCATATTGTTCCCTGCTTAATACAACATTACCATTCAAGTGGTTGATAACTGCTAATGATAAAGTTTTGCATGTTGGTTAATGAGCTCTTATTAGGCTGATTACAATAATGAGTAGCCATCTTTCTTAGCTGCCTAAGCTTCGTGAGAGTGGTTGCAGGTTATGCTGGGCTAGAGCATGAGTGGCTATATCAAACTCTAAAGCAGCCGTAACCCTTATGATTAGACTGTAAAATGTCCACCCCAGGTGGTTTCCACGTCGGTCAGGCGAAGGGTCTGTGTTTGCCTGTCAGGAGACCAGTCTTTATTCAGTGAGGATAGTTTCTTTGGTGGGAGAAGCTTAGGTGCCTGCTGCACTTCTGATATTCTCTTGTTAGCTGGTCTGTCAGGTGTTTGTCGTGGGCTGGTGAGAGATCTCAGGCATCCCGTCTGCTGTGAATGATCAGACCATGCATTTCGACTCCCTCTCGGTGCGCTGCTTAGTATGGTAGGGTAAACCAGTGTGCAGTGACAGTTCTTTTTGTTTTTGTTGTTCTGCCGCTCCGCTCATGGGATCCTAGCACCCACTCTGTCGGCTCTCACCCCGACCGGCTCGGCGATCTGTCTGTGTGGCTGCAGGAGAGGTGAGTGCGCTCGGCTGTTATCAGGGTCACTTGCCATGTGGTCTCCGCCATTTTGGACACGGCTTTCTCTGCCTCAGCTTCAAGCGCCGGCCTTGTTGTGGTACGATGGGTCTCGGGGTGGGGACCGGGATCACCCCCACCGGTCCAAAGGGGGGGGAACGGAGCCGGACCCGCCTAACCCCGGATTGCTGCCTTACCACTGGTGGGCAGGATAGCCAGGCAGCGGCCGTCCACCTCGCTCACCGCCCGAGCGGTCCGCATCGTGTGACTTGGATCGCCCCTCCGAGGGACTAAAACTGCTCAGCAAGCCTCTCCTCGGGACCAGGGTGGCCTCTTGCACCGGTGCTCGGCAGCCAGTTGTCAGGTAAGCTTGATGCCGTTTTTTTTGGGCTAAAACTGGAGGTTTTTACAGGAGCTACTCCATTTTGCGTCCTTTCAGCCTGGCGGTCCGGCCCCGCCCCTGGTTTTATGTATTTTTAAGGTACTTATGGGGTGTTTGGGAAATGTGTGTTTTTTGTGCCTGGAGATAATTTAGTTTTGTACATTCCCTGACTCAATTATCTCCTAGGCACAGGGGATGGATTATCTTGTTTTGTATGGGAGTGTCCTGGACCTGAGAGCCAATGTAATAGTGTGTATGTTATTAATGTAGTCTACTCTCAGGTCCAGGGGGAGTGCCCCTTGCATGGGAACCTGCATATAAGGCCAGTTGTGGCTGCCAATAAACGTATCCCAGCTTGTACTCCCAGAACTATGTGTCGTCTGGTTACTGGGAGGGGAAAGGGCTAATCACTATTCCAGTGTGGAGGATTCAAAGGGGAAAGTCCTTGTAAGGACTAGAGCCTAAAGGACTGAGTGTCATCCAGCGCCTGGGGGTGGATAGAGTGAGTTCCCCATTTGGCTCCAAGAGGGATTGGTTCCAGGACCCGGGTCAAGCCACGGCGACTGTGGGCAGAAGTTCTGCGGTTTGTCTCCTGTTCCAGCTAGGAAGCGGTCCTTGGCGGAGGTACCCAGCCAGGGGTAATTACATTGGTGGTAGCGGTGGGATGGCTTCCTAGCCATGGGAAATCCAGCACTACTTTGCAGGAAGTATTGGCGAGTGTGAGGAACTGAACCTTGTCACGGGTGCTTGGAGAGGCCTGCTGGCCAGCCTCTTACCAAAAGACTATGGGTCCTTTAAAAAAACTGTGAACAAACTTGGTTCATGGGATATTTGGTTCAGGAAACGAACAGCCGCACGAACTGGAGACCACCCTGGAGCTTGTTAAGCCTAATTGCTACTTTGTAGAAATTTCCACTGCAAGGTTCTAAGTGTTCATCTGGGTGGCTGCAATTCCTATAGATGACTATGAGGTTACGGCCATCTTGTTCACATGAAAACAGGCAGTGGTGTTTGGTCATCGAGTTCATGGAACTATTTCGGACACTGAAACTCCTGAACACCGCTGGACTTCCATGATCGCCTGTGTTTGGTTTTAAAACACTTAGGAAGACACTGTTTGGTGGAAACGTTCCCACGAACAAGGGGAACAACTCCAGGGTGGTCTCCGGTTCATGCAGCTGTTCGGTTCCTGAACCAATTATAACATCCCATAAACCAAGTCTGTTTACATAGTGTTTTAAAAAGGGCCCATAGTCTTTTGGTAAGAGGCTGGCCAGCAGGCCCCTCCAAGCACCCGTGACGAGGTTTAGAGAAATTAGAAAATTTGGGAAAATGGGGGCGAGTTAGCCCCTGGGCAGCACTCATATCCAAGGAGGAGAGTGACCTGGAATGGAGAGATGCAGCCTGGAAAGAACTATGATATGATTCCCTGGAGGAAGCTCAGTTTAAGTGGAAGGAGAGCCTTCTTGGTACAGCGCACTGCTTGGTACTGCACCTTGAGTCCCTAGTAGAGAGGGAACTGATCCTGGACAACTCATACCAGGTGCAATGGTGGTGCACAGTTCAGCAAGAGACTTGGATGGCACAGGACGTTCAGCCAGAGGGGGAGAACTACAGTAGCCCTGGCCTGTTGTGGAAGGCCTTTGAGAAGGATGACGACTTCTGCAGTCCGGCTAAATCGCGGTACTGGGCTAGCAATTATTATCGGGAAGCTATGCTATGGGGCCCGGGAGCTACCTCATCTGTCTAGTTGCCATGGAGCGGGAACTGGAAATAAACTATGTAGAACTGCTAGACTCAGTTCAGCCACAGGACGTTGACACAGAGCAGGGAAGCTAGGTGGCTGATCCAGACCTACCACACTGCAGGTGGGGAGACCTGGCTGCTCCACCCCCTGTTTCACTACCAGCTCCAGAAACAGGGGACCTTATAGACTGGTCCTGGGAAGACATCCAGTTCGCAGGTGGAGATGGGACAAGGCCTGTCCAGATCCCCAACAGCAGTGTACACTACAGGGGGAAGAGACAACCAACCTCTCTCCCCAGCCCCAGCAGAAGTAGTCCCCTCTTCTGTGCTGGTCACCTGGGGACCTCCTACACTGGTCCTGGGAGGACATCCAATTGGCCGGGGCAGCCTGTCCAGATCCCCAACCACAGATGGCAGATGGAGATGTTAGGAGTGGGGACAGTAGGTCCCCCTCCCTAGCGGACCACAGAGTTGCAGGGAGAGAAGTGTGTCAACCTTCTTCCCCAGCGGCAGAGCGCGTTAATGGGAGAGGAGATGGTTGGTCTCTCTCCCCAGCGGCAGACAGAGTTACAGGGAGAGGAGAGTATCGTTCTACATCCCTAGCGGCAAGGTGAGTTACTGGGAGTGGAGACGTTCGGTCTCACTCCTCAGCGGCGGTGTGCAACACAGGGAGTGGAGACGTTCGGTCTCACTCCCAAGCGGCGGTGTGCAACACAGGGAGTGGAGACATTCGGTCTCACACCCCAGCGGCCGAGTATGTTAGAAGGAGCGGAGACAATGGGTCCCACTCCCCAGCAGCATGGCAAGTTATTGGGAGTGAAGACGGTCGGTATCACTCCCCAGCGGCAGTGTGTGTTACAGGGAGAGGAGACGACTGGTCCCTTTTCCCAGTGGCAGTATGCATTACAGGGAGAGGAATATATCGTCCTTTCTCCCCAGCAGCAGGGTACTATACAGGGAGTGGAGACAGTCGGTCTCATTCCCCAAAAGCAGCAGGGGTAACTGGGAGTGAAGATGGTTGGTTTCACTCCCCAGCGGCAGTGTGTGTTACCGGGAGTGGTGATGGGCAGTCTCACAATCCAGGGAGAGGAGAGTATCGTCCTCCATTCCCAGCAGCAGTGTGTGTTCCGGGAAGAGGAGGCTCTCCTCTCCTCAGTGGCAGGGCTTTTTACAGGTAGAGGAGACAACCGGTTTCTCTCCCCAGTGGCAGTGCAAGTTACTGGGAGTGGGGACAGCTGGTCCCACTCCCCAGCGGCAGGAGTTACCACCTAGAGAGGAGAATTGCACCCTTAATCCCCAGCGACAACTTGGTCTGCACGGAGTGGAGTGCAGCAGTTTTCCTCCTCAGCAGGACCCTGGATTTACAAACGGAAGCTTGTGGCAGGTGGCCCTCTTTACAACTGACCCTTTTGAGAAGGGTCACCAGACTAACACAGACCCAGACCGACTGGATGTCTAGGGTCTGGTTAGTCTCTCCGGAAGGGGGAATATAAATGACAAACGCCTCTCTCCACAAACGTTTGCCACGGACTCCTGGAGGAGTGTGGAAGCTGGCCTCCTGCCCACCGACTGTCACAAACATCTAAGCCTTTTTTTCACACTATGAGTGATAAATGCTTGTGTTAATTTAGTGCCCAATCTACGTGAAATCGTTGACTCTAATGTGGGGGGGCACTTAGCTGAAAGATTTAAATTTTGGTGCCAAAGCTGAAAGCCTGATGCCTGTTCCAATGGATGACCAAAGTGGTGTTTGGTGAATGAGTAGGGATTCAGGAAGGCCCAGCCTCCTTAGTCGCACCTGTGCGGGAGTGGTGTCCTCTTAAAGGGAGAAGGGGCAGACCGAGGCAGGGGGGTGTGTATGGGAGGCGGACGTGATGGGGGTAGGGCGTTCATCTTCTCCCCTATTTACCAGCACTCCTCCTATCTCTCATTGCTCATTTATACTGTTCTCCTGATAGTGTTCATATTTTTGGTATTTAACACTTGCCTGCCTTCCCATTTAAGAGCCTGTGCTGCCTGACCTAACTTTTGCCTTTCCTGACCATTCTTACATTTAATCCTTCTATGATCCGAGATCTTGGGATTGTGCTATCCAGCACCCTGCTGCATTGTGGGCTCTGTACTCTAAATTGCGCACCTTACAGATAAAGAAAATAATTACAGAGAGACAGTATAAATAAATTGCAGTAACATCAATTTGAGTAATTTCTATTTAGACGATAATCCCCTTCATCGACAACTTTTAGAATAATAATTTTTGCACTCACTTGCATCCCAATTCTGTTGTTCTTGTCTTATACAATTGAGTTGTAATTGGCAGGATCTCTTTCACTATTTAGGCGAGATTTATTTTCTTTCCGTCTGTCTAGAGCTTTTTCATTACGATGTCTGTTGTATATTAATGTACATGTTTATTTTGTTTCTGGTCTCTGTGTCTTAATAAAAGTTACATTTTAACCCAATATTAAATTCCTTTTTTACCCCTGGTAAAACACTCCAGTTTTCTCAGTTTTTATAAATAAAATTAAACTCCAGGACTCAGCAAAAAGGGTTTAATGGTCGCTTTATTAAGCCATCCAAAAGGGCAACGTTTGGACACTGTACATTAGTGATGGCCTAATATAGACATGTATACTGTTACAATGGTTTCTACCCTTTTGGGCGGCTGAATAAACTTACCATTACACCGTTTCTTTTTTTCTTAGGTATGGAACGACATGTGGCTCTGTCATAGCACACTATCCATTTAACACAAGACGTGCTCCTTGGCTTCAATACTCCTCTACCTCGTCATCACTAATCTGTGTGCTTTAAAATATACTATACTCACTACCTTATATTTTTATTTTATTTTTTCATTTCCTTTTTTTGACAATAACAAGAAACATGGGAATACAATATAGCACACTGTAAGCAGAGAGTTTCCTGGATTCTGTCAGTCTGTAATTACCATTTATATATCAATTATTTCTCTACAGGAAGATCTTTCTCCAAGCAGACAATGGCAGTAACGCCGGAGAGTGACTTGGGAGACATTAAGGCTCCAGGCCTCGCTGCAACTGGTGACAGGTCCCAGAGAGAGGAGGTGATGTATTATGTCAGAAAAACACCCATTTACACATTCAGAAGTATTATAAGTTATAAAGTGACATTATTACATACTCTTCATACGCTCTGTTAACTGCCATTGTTTATTATCATTGGTTATTCGTATTACCATAAGGCAGAGAGGCTACATGATTAATTGAGAGATATAGAAATTTCATAATGAGGGAATGGCTGTAAAGTGAAAAAGATTGTTACATTCTGCATTTAGACACTCTCAACACCAAAACCACTACATCTGAATGCGGTCCATTTTCTCAGACAATTTAATATATTTCTATTAGCGTATCACGGCAGTTGGCGTGCATGCGCCGTTTGTCCTCGGTGCTTTTGATTGTAAGTCATTTATAACTTCACCAGGGGAAGATCAGCTGCTGAATGAAGACTGTCCCGGCACTAGAAGATTTCTGTCTTTTTTTTTTTTTTATTATTTTTGTAGTGTTTACTAGAGTGACTAAAAAAAATCTAAACATAAAATAATGGCATCTAACTATTTTTTTTAAATTCATGTGTCTTTTTAAAGGGACGCTATAATCACCAAAACAACTTTAGGTTAATGAAGCACTTTTTGTGCATAGATCATGTCCCTGCAGTCTCACTGCTCAATTCTCTGCCATTTAGGAGATACATTACTTTTGTTTCTGTCAATTTTCAATCAGATATTATTATCTCCTGCTCTGTTAATTGGACTGTAATTACATACAGAAGGCTCTGGCAGGACATAGTAAGCTATTAATTGTACAGGAGATAAGACATTCTAAATTAAACAGAGTTTGCAATAAAAGAAGTGAAAACATTAGATGTCTCTCTACAGGAAGTGTTTATGGAAGGCTGTGCATGTCACATGCAGGGAGGTGTGACTAGGGTTCATAAACAAAGTGATTTCATTCCTAAATGTCAGAGAATTGAGCAGTGAGACTGCAGAGGCATGATCTATACACCAAAACTGCTTCATTAAACTAAGTTTTTTCTGGTGAGTGTAGCGTCTCTTTAATTATTAACGGACAACCTTGCATTCCTAACAAAATACAGTCAGAGTATCCCTAAATATCAGAATTTCATACATGCCAGAACGCATTATATCGATTTTTCCCTGCAAATTAGGGAAGAAGTTGTTATAGGTACGTCTGTTGCACTGAGCTTGTTAAGTATTTCCATATGTCCCCGTGCATATGTCTATATTCTAATGCGGAGGAGTTTTGCAGGAGGTCAGGTCCCAGACGGTCTATTCATGGGAAGCACCTTTAATCAGCGCAGCGTGGCCTGAACAATGAAGACAATCAAACACTTACTAAATCGGATAATCCCACTACGAAATCACTTTGAATCTCTTAGGAATTCCTCAAAAGTGCAAACTGTTTTATGTTGCATTGTTTTTGCAAACTATATTTCTCAATCTGTTTTTATGTAAAACTGTCACTGAATATTATCTGCTCTCAGTCATAGAGTGTTCAAACACTCGCTGTGCATTTTATTAACAATATAGAAGTCTGTTCTGTTGCTGTTTGTTATTATCTAGAACTGAGTAAATATTTCTAATGTTAACTTCCAGCAGGCCAGTCTCACGATCAGCTCAACTCGTGAAATCGTAGATTCTGATTGGCTGTTGAAATGATGAGCTGTTTATAGTTTCCCTTCCATGAGACAAAAAATAGAATTTGGACAGAATTTAAAATATGGCTGTTCTAAGACAGTTTGGTTATACTCCCAAATGTCAATTACTTCAAAATAGAGTATATTTTGTTTAAATGATAGCAATAATAATATAATATATATTACAATATTACAATATTATTTTTACAATAAAATTCAATATTGTAAAAATATTTGCATAAAGAATATTTCAGGTACATAACTACTGTAGACATGGTCGGAACTTAGGCCTACTACACACGGGCAGGAAGGAGTTGGCAACTCCCGCTGCTCTTAGACACTCAGGAGACTACCAGAGTTTCTCCAACACCCCACCCCCTTACCAGTGAGGGAAATCATGGTATCCCCTGAGGCTACAATGGGACACAAGCACAAGAAGCTTTACCATATAGAGAGGCCTGCACTTCCAGACATCAGGCTGTCATTTGAAAAACCGGCCCAGCAGTTACCTCCCAGAGTGAGCCAGAAGTCTCAGATGACTCACAGGATGAAGGGGTATCCAGCACATCACCTCCTTCTGGTAGAGTGTACCATAACATAGATTCTGATGATGATTCCTCTCCCTCGACAAAAGTGGACATCAAGAGACTGCATGTGGATCTTAGACAGGTCTGGAAGGCAGACCTAGAAGAGGCTCAAGCCAAAATAGGCATCCAACACCAGAAGGTGTCTGCTGTGGAGGAGATGGAGAAGAGTGAGCTACAGAGCACAAAACACCAAATGTAGGGCCTTAGCATACAGGTCAAACAGCTGCACAAGATGGTGACTTCCCTGGAATCCCACCACTGCCGTCAGAACATACGCCTACGAGGTATTACTGAAGAGATCAGCGGAGGTGCAGTGTGGCGAAAGTAACCTTGCCAATGGCTTTTGGAGGGGTCTGTTTGCCAACCTCCTACCCTGTGACTATGGTCCCTGGGATAAACCATGGTTAAAAATACTGTTTTTGCCTTTTTGGACTTGTATGGCTAAATTTTGAACTTTCAAAGCGGCACTTCGAACTCCCGAACAACCGCACGAACCAGAGACCACCCTGGAGCCCGTTAACACCTATTTACAACTTGGAACGTTTCTCACCGCAGTTAGAAGGGCACTGTTTGGTGGGATAGTTCGTCTGGATGTGGGGAACAAGCTCCAGAGTAAGAACATTGACTATGTTAGGTAGATTATTCGTTTTTAAACTACCGAACTAGACCGACCGCAAACCCTGATTCTCAGGAATTATTTTGGGCATGGGACCATGCGTGCGGTCAGTCAAATAAATAACTTCCATAGAATTCCTGAACTGATCTGGGTGATTTTTGGATTTGTTGTTCACCCAGATCTGGGCTGTCAGGGGATGTAACATTTGTGGGGATATTATGTGTTTGTATGGTAGTTTGGGGTTTTTATAGAAATGTGTGTTTTCTCTGCCTGTAGATAACTGAGTTAATACAGTATCTGACTCAATTATCTCCCAGGCTGAGGGGAGGGATTGTGTGCTCTGTGTGGGAGTGTCGTGCCTTGTTACCTTATTGTTATTGGTATGTGACGTTGTAAATCAGTCTACCATCAGGTCCATATGGGTGTACCCCATGCATGGGGATTGTCATATAAAGCCAAGTGTGGCACCATTAAAATCAGTTCCTCTTCACCTTCAACATAAAGCCTTGTCTATTCCCTCTGGGGATTGCTATACTTATTATATTTCCCTGGGTTTTAATCACTAGCTCTTATAAGTTCCTGCTTTACTCTCTGTAGTAGAATCCTGGTCTTGGGTCCAGGGTGGGTGGAGGACGGCAAGAAGCCAGCCAAGCTGCTGCGGATAAGGGGCTACAGTGCTTATGGTTTCTGGTGGAGTGCTTGGAGCCCAGGGTGAGCACTAGGAACATCGATTGATGCAGGCGGCCCGTCACACGCAATCTTGCCATTTGTTCAAAGAATGGTTGCATTTATAGGTATACAATGCGAAGTAGATGCCCCAGTTATGTTGTCCTCTTTTAGAGTAAGAAAATCAGCTGCTGCAACGGCAGGAGCACCCAGAGACGTTATTGCAACTACAAGGGACATTGCAGTAAGAAACGCTATTATGGCCAAATCTAGATCTTTGGGGAAGGTGAGCTTTGAGAGCCACAATGTGTCCATCTACAGTGACATCCTGTTCTTCGCAGAACGCAGGCAGCTGGCACCAACCACCCCAGAATACTTAGAGATCATTCAATTAAGTATCGTTGGAATGCAGAGGGATCTTTTGCAGTCACTCCTGGCTTCGAGACACTCACATTGTCCTCCTTCGATGACCCAAAGCAGTTGCTCCACGCACTGGGCTTGGGAACCGCCCTCACTGAAGGAGGGACAACCAGAGGAGAGACTCACACAGAGGAGACTGATGCCGCAAATCGACTCAGCAGAGTCTAACCAGCCTCTAACACCAGAAACATCATCAGATTTTTTATTTCAACTTTTGTTTCAATTTTGATTTTGCTGACGACTGTTGTCTCCTTTTCGGTGACTGTGGGAATGAGCTTTATGTCCTGGAGTATGCTACCGGTATGCACCTGCAGACCATCCAGAGTGTGCTAAATGGGCTAAAGTTTGAAATGCAAATATGCCTTGAGACTCGAGGCTACTTATGTTTATTTTCTTATATTGTTTGATTAGAGTGGAAATTGTTGCATTGCTTCCAGTCTTGAAATAATCTTGATCTGTTTATTACTTTTGGATGTATATCGGCACAGTTGTATGCTATGTGTACAAAACCTAATAAAACACAAATTAAAAAAAACAATAATAATATCAACTGATAGAATATTGCTCTATGCAAGTACAATTTAGCCACAGTGGCAATATGCTCATACATCATCTTTATTATAACCACATCATTTTACAGTGAGGATATAAAACAAAAAAATAATTGGCAAATTAAGGTCAACTAATAGCTGAAGAAGGCCCTGCTTAAAAAGTTTACAACGTAGAGAGAATGGCATGTGAAAGAAGACCTTCTGTCAGAGGAGATGGGAAACCGTACCTGTATTTCATTACAGAGTAAAAGTGAGGGAGTGAATCGGACTGTGAGGAGAGACAGGGAGACTGAAGATGATAATATGTCTTCTTAATGAGATTAACTTTAAGGGACGTCAAGTCTTCAAGGACTGGTTCACTAGAGGAATTAAGACAAGATGTACTTCCTATTATTTAAAAAATGCCATAACCTTCCAACTCACAAGTTTGAGTCCCAGGTACAGGAGGTAGAGAAGACCTGCTGAAACAAGCTTACAATGTAATCAAATTATATAATTTGCTAAGTAAATTTGAAGCCGACAGACACTTTGAAAATGTTAAAATAACTTCCATTGTTATCTGGTTTCATTTTCCTTTAGAGATTACAAAATGTTATAAACACTTCATATCGCAGCTTGGGAATGTAGTATACTTTCAGAACTAATCATGAAATCAATCAATAAATGCACTTTATGTCATTGTCTATTTATGTAAATCTCTATTCAAAACACCATAGTCCGTAAACATAAATAAAAATAAAGCTGTTTTACTGGCTAGTCACTAGTTTGCAGCCACACTCAGATCAGCTCCCTAGATAAGTACTAATGTTCAACAAGACTTTGTGTAATTAAATAATAAAATACTACGCTGGAGGCACTAAGCTCGAATACTGGTTTAGTAATCAGGAGGAGTTTCAGAATCGGCACCATAATCTGGGACAGTGTGAGCCACTGTACAGCAGTTAATGATACTTGTATCAGGCCACGTCAAGATACCAAACAAAATAATAATAATAATAATAATAGAATATTGCTTTGGGAAATGTGTCCATATTAACTATGATGTTTTATGTTTACAGGATAACTCCAGCACTGAGAAGGGATTTGAAAGGGTTGGAGAAGATCTGTTTTTGAAACCTCCATCCTCCCTCCCTCCTGAAATGGGACAGTCTGTGGCCCACTCCAGTGATGTGCCATTAAGGATCAACCCTGACTTGGGACATCCAGAATTACTCCAGGAAACATCCTTAAAGCTGCATATTTCAATGTCACACATAAAGATCAAGGAGACACAGCTTCAGGGATACGATGGAGATAAATCTCAGGATCTGCTTACATTGGAGATCAAACAAGTTCACCAACAAAGTCTACAAGACTCTCCTCCTCAGAAATATGGACGCAGAGTTCTACAGAGAACAAAATCCATAGAACCTACTTTTGTTGATCATATTGTCCATGAACGACCTTTACAGCAATCCAGACCCTTTATAGCTGGACCTACATTACTTCCATGTTCTGAAGGATTAGATAGACCTACAGCATCAATACTCACATCATGCCTTGAGTCAGTGGTGAGACCTACTGAAACCAGGTCCACACCGTATTTGGAGTCTATTGTTAGAGCTACAGCACCCACTCTCACAGCGTACTTGGCATCTTTACCAGGATCTACATTGTCCTTAGTCAAACCATGTTTAGAGTCAGCACCAAGACCTTCGGGATCAATGTTTCCATCAGGTTCAGATAACACAGAGGGACGTATATTGTCCATAGCCTCACCATGTTTGGAGCCAGTAACTAGAACTACAGAGCATTCATCCAAATCATGTTCAGAGACCATACTGGAACCTACAGCTTCCATGGTCACACCATATTTGGAGCCCATAACAGAAGCTACACAAACAATGGTTACCTTGTGTTCTGAACTCTCAGACAATCGTGTACATCCTATGGTCATACCATGCACAGCGCCCATAACAGCACCAATAGCTCCCATGGTCACATCATGTACAGCACCCATGGTCACATCATGTACAGATACCATGATCACAATATGTACAACGCCCATAACAGCACCTACAGCTCCCATGGTCACAACAGGAACAGCACCCATAACGACACCTATAGATCCCATGATCACAATATGTACAGTACCCATAACAGCACCTACAGCTCTCATGGTCACAACAGGAACAGCACCCATAACGACACCTATAGATCCCATGATCACAATATGTACAGTGCCCATAACAGCACCTACAGCTCTCATGGTCACAACAGGAACAGCACCCATAACGACACCTACAGATCCCTTGATCAGACCACATACAGCACCCATAATAACACCTCCAGCTCCCATGGTCAAACCATGTACACCGCCCATAACAGCACCTCCAGCTCCCATGGTCAAGCCATGTACAGTCCCCATAACAACACCTACAGCTTCCCTGGTCAAACCATGTACAGCACCCATAACAGCACCTACAGCTCCCACAGCCTTGCCATGTACTTCACCCATAATAGCACCTCCAGCTCCAGTGGTCACACCATGTACAGCACCCATATCAGCACCTCCAGCTCCCATGGTCACACCATATATAGGGCCCATAACGGAACCTACAGCTCCCATGGTCAAACCAAGTACAGTGCCCATTACAGCACCTATAGCTCCCATGGTCACACCATGTACAGTGCCCATAACAGCACCTACAGCTACGATGGTCACACCATGTACAGCGCCCATTACAGCACCTATAGCTACGATGGTCACACCATGTACAGCGCCCATTACAGCACCTATAGCTCCCATGGTCACACCATGTACAGCACCTATAACAGCACCTCCTGCTCCCATGGTCATAACATTTATGGACACCATAAAAGCACCTATAGAAGCCACGGTCATACCATTTATGGAGCCCATAAAGAGACCATGTAAAGGGAGCAAAAAAGAATCTCTAGCTTCCTTGGCCATACCTTGTACGGAGGCCCTAAGGGGATCTGCAGCTTCCATAGTCACCCCATGTTATGAGTCCTTAGCTACATCTGCACTGCACATTTTCACACTGGGTTCAGAGCCTTTAGCAGACACGATAATGGGAAATACAAAATCTATATTTATACCATGTTCAGAAACCATTTCAAGACCTACATCAACAAGGATCATGTCCAGTTCGGAGTCCTTAGCTGAGCTTCCTATAATGGCAGGGTTTGGGATGGATGTGGTCAATTCGTTTGGCTTACAGGAAGCACCTAGTGTTCTATCTCAGGGCACAGAACCTGTGCTTACTGCATGTTTGGGGCCCTTAAAGCCAGATGTTACAAGTTCTGTACATCCTGAGGATTCTGGAACCTCACATGAAATTGGACAGACTACACCCAACCAACAGCACCCCATCCATTTTCAGCCAATGTCTTTTACATCTCAGAGGAAACTTAGCTTGGAATTGATGAGGAAGCACACGCGAGTGGAATACAGTGACAGCAGCAGTGATGATGAAGATCGTCTCGTCATAGAAATGTAGAAGTATTTGTTTTATAATGAGAAGAAGATGGTGTAAAACATGATTTATAAAATGGGCTTATGGCCAGTCCAAGGGTTTCTAATTAAAACCTGCCATACGGCACCCAGCCGCGACATGATCACATTATACATCTGAGGTACATTAGTGATGGTTGATATCAATGCAGTGCGTACTCATATTCCCTCTAATTCATTTGGGAATTTTATTTTACTGCAAACAGTATTCCTTCATTGTGGATTCCATTCAAACTCGTCTGACTGAATTAGTTGCACCTAACAGAGGGTGCGCTCTCAAACTCTTTACTCTCCCATGGCCACTTGTGGGTAAAGAAGCAATGTACAGCATTCTCCTAATTTTTATATAATATGTTTAAGCCATTCTAGGAAAAATCTGTCTGGGACAGGATCTGACATGTCTCTTATGTTCGATTTACTGGTTCCAACAGATAGGACCAAGTCAAGCTGCACAGACCCACGCGTGGGATAAACTGTTACACTTTTATATGTGTAAATGTTGTGTACTATCGTGTTCTAACACAGCAGGACCAGCGGCATTGTCCTGTACCTGCAGTACTGATAAATCTTTGGTTGGGGTGGCAAGTAGCACACTCCCAAGTGCTTGCTGTATTCCTATGATCGACATTGTTGTATTTATCAGCTTGTATTTGCAAGTATTTGTTTTTTAATATATCAAGTGCAAAGGTGTTTTTTTGAAACTGCTACTCAATGTCATAGCTATAGTTTTATATCGTTTTATATCGTTCTATTATTTCATGGTGGTTCCATGTATCCTGTTTCAGATTAAATTAAACAGCATGAAGACTGTGGCTGCTCAATACATGTTATTCTGTGCTATATTCATTAAAATCCTTTAATAAAGGGATCTTATGGCACACAAGGAGGGGAGGAATATTTATTAACATAAAACCAATGCTTTTTAAACTTTTAAAAGTGATAAATATGGACCAATTAAAGGACCACTATAGTGCCCTGAGGGTCCCCCTCCCGCCGGGCTGGATGGCGAGGAAAGGGGTTAAACTTACCTTTATTCCAGCTCTCCTCCTCCTCTCTGCCTCCGATCCTCCTCTTCGGCTGAATGCGCATGCGCGGCAGGAGCAGCGCGCGCATTCATCTGGTCTCATAGGAAAGCATTTACCCTGCTTTCCTATGGACGCTGGCGCCTTCTCACTGTGATTTTCACAGTGAGAAGCACGCAAGCGGCTCTAGCAGCTGTCAGTGAGACAGCCACTAGAGGATTTAGAGGCTGGATTAACCCTATTATAAACATAGCAGTTTCTCTGAAACTGCTATGTTTATAAAAAAAAAAAGGGGTTAATCCTAGAGGGACCTGGCACCCAGACCACTTCATTAAGCTGAAGTGGTCTGGGTGCCTAGAGTGGTCCTTTAACCAAACCACACCCATCAATATGGAATATTTTTCTTAATAAATATGGAATAGCTGCTTTTTTCTAAACATGCTCCATTTGTGTCTTCTATGAAAAATAATTTGATAGAGACATTGATAGATCTGTTTCCAATTAAAATATCATTCATACTACACAGTATAGTCAAACTAAGAATTGCTTAATCACCCAACAATAGATGAACTCACAATGAGATAACTGAGGGCAGTATTGAACTCATTGCTAGTTAATAGATATACCCCACAATGCGATATTGGAGGACAGCCAGGGCACATCTGATTAAATCCTGTGTAAATAAATATAACCCACAATGCAATATCGAAGGACAGTCAGGGTACATCTAACTAATCTCGTGTCAGTAGATATACCCCACAATTCAATACTGAAGGACGGTCAGTGTATGTGACGGACCGCGTTGCACCCCGACCGGGTGCCTCCGTCAATCGCTGCTTCCTAGTAATCCTTGAGTACCATAAGCACCGCACTGGACACCATAACCACTGTAAAACCCCACGAACCGCCACAGCTTGGATGGGGTCTTGACGTCCTCCACCCACCCTGGACCCAAGACCAGGATCCAGCTTCCAGTGGGTAGACCTCTCCTAGTCCAGAGAGCGTAGCAGGAACAGCTCTTAGAAGAGCTAGTGATTGTTTTGTGATATAGCAATCCCCAGAGTGTATGTATTTCTCCAATCCCCCCAAACATGAACCAAGACTTTATGAAGGGGTAAAGCATTCTGTTTAACCCCTTAAGGACACATGACATGTGTGACATGGCATGATTCCCTTTTTTTCCAGAAGTCTATCCCTCCTCTCTGCCTGGGAAATAATTGAGGCAGATAATGTATTAACCCAATTATCTCCAGACAGAAAAAACACATAGTTTACAAAACCCCAAAAGTACCCCAAAAACACACAAAATCCCCCAAATTATTACATCCCCTGATAGCCCTGATTGGGTGACCAACATATCCAAAAACCACCCATATCAGTTAAGGGATTCAGGAATTCTATGGAAGTCCCATTTTGACCGACCGCAGAGAATCAGGCTGTGCGGCCGGTCTACTTCGAGTGTAATGTTTGAATTACCGAACGAAGCTGTTCGTGGATAATGTCATTATTTGTCTCTTGTTCGTGGGTTTCTTTTTACTGAATGCTGTTCGAATAGCCGAACCTCCATGAAAGGTAAAAGTTTAGCGGTGTTCGTGTCGTTGAGTGTCCGATTTGAGTTCCATGTACTCAGTGACCAAACACCGCTAATCAAGATGGCCGCCGCCATGTGTTCAAGTGCCACTTCGAATGGCTTCGGGAGTCGACAGTTCGAATGCCACTTCAAAAGTTCAAATGGTTCCTGTTACAAGTCCCAACAGGGACAAATAGTGTTTTTAAACCTAAGCTACCACATGGCCATAGTCACAGGGCAGGAGGCTGGCAGACAGGTCCCTCCAAAAGCCAGTTACAAGGTTACTTTTGTCACTGTGTACATCTAATTAATCTCGTGTCAGTAGATAGACCCGACAATGCAATTTTGAAGTACCGCCAGGGTACATTATAACTAATCTTGTGTCAATAGATATACCCCACAATGCAATATCGAAGGACAGTTAGGGTACATCTGATTCATCTCATGTCAACAGATATATCTGACAATGCGATATCAATGGACTGATAGGGTACATCTAATTCATCTCATGTAAATTGATATATTCGACAATCCAATACTGAAGGACTGTCAATGTACATCTAGCTAATCTTGTGTCAATAGATATACCCTACAATGCGATATTGAAGGACAGCCAGGGTACATCTAATTCATATCTGATATCGAAGGACAGTCAGGGTACATCTAATTAATTTCTGATATCGAAGGACAGTCAGGGTGCATATAATTTATCTTTGATATTAAAGGACACTTAGGGTATATCTAATTCATCTCTGATATCAAAGGAAGGTCAGGGTACATCTAATTATTTTATGATATTGAAGGAAGGTCAGGGTACATCCAATTAATTTTTTATATCGGAGGATGGTCACATACATCTAATTGACTTATGATATCAAAGGACAGTCATGGTACATCTAATTCATCTCTGATATCGAAGGACGGTCAGGGTACATCTAATTCATCGTATTACAAGATATATAACCCACAATGAGATATCTGAGGACTGGAAGAGTAAATCTAATTCATTGTATCTCTAGATATACCCCACAATGACATATCTGTGGACTGGCAGAGTAAATCTAATTCATTGTGTCAATAGATATACCCCACAATGAAATACCTGAGGACTGGCAGAGTAAATCTAATTCATCGTGTCAATAGATATACCCCACAATGATATATCTGAGAACTGGCAGGGTAAATCTAATTCATCGTGTCACTAGATATACCCCACAATGATATATCTGAGAACTGGCAGGGTAAATCTAATTCATCGTGTCACTAGATATACCCCACAATGAGATATCTGAGGACTGGCAGGGTAAATCTAATTCATCCTGTCAATAGATATACCCCACAATGAGATATCTGAGGACTGGCAGGGTAAATCTAATTCATCGTGTCAATAGATATACCCCACAATGATATACTGGCAGGGTAAATCTAATGCATCGTGTCGATAGATATACCCCACAATGAGATATCTGAGGACTGGCAGGGTAAATCTAATTCGTGTCAATAGATATACCCCACAGTGAGATATCTGAGGACTGGCAGGGTAAATCTAATTCATCGTGTCAAGATATATAACCCACAATGAGATATCAGAGAACTGGCAGAGTAAATCTAATTCATCGTGTCAATAGACATACCCCACAGTGAGATATTAGAGGACTGGCAGAGTAAATCTAATTCATTGTGTCACTAGATATACCCCCCAATGAGATATCTGAGGACTGGCAGGGTAAATCTAATTCATCGTATCACTAGATATACCCCACAATGAGATATCTGAGGACTGGCAGGGTAAATCTAATTCATCGTGTCAATAGATATACCCCAAAGTGAGATATTAGAGGACTGGCAGAGTAAATCTAATTCATTGTGTCACTAGATATACCCCACAGAGATATCTGAGGACTGGCAGGGTAAATCTAATTCATTGTGTCAATAGATGTAACTCAAAATGGGATATTGAAGTGCAGAGTGTATTATTATACAAACAATGCGCTCGTAGCAGTCTAATAGCCATTTTTGTATTGTTTTCCCTCATGTTGTTATTTGGGCCTGCCATTTACTAATTTGTTAATTCCTAATTGTTACTGCACTTCATCTATTAAAGAACTGGAGGGAACTGTCACTGCTCTGGAACTTACACTGTTGAATAATACATTGAATATCAGCTATAACTTGGATGGAGCACCAAATTACATGTACAGACCAATAAAAACAATGTACAATATCTGACACTAACACATACATTTTTCACAATGTACAGAAAACACCCCAGAACACCACATAACCCCATAAATGTTATATCTCCCGATAGCTCTGATCTAGGTGACCAACATATCCAAAAATCAAATAAAATAAAAACAGTATCAGCGCTTAGTTAATATACCCCTATCTTAC